AACCAATTTCCCTCCAACCATCTCAATCAGAAAAAAAATGTCATCACAAATGGAACACATTTTGCAGGGTAAAGAATATTGTCATCACGAAGAAGAACAGGAAGAATTAATACCCAATAATAATACACTTCAATCAATGATGATCATCTCGACCACAATTATTGTGGAGGATAAAGATGTTCACAATCTTACTATTCATCAATATAGACAGGCACAATTAGTCGATATTCAATATAAATTAAAGAAATTGAAGGGTGAAAGTTGCACTCCGATCATCATTATTAGACGTTGTAATGGAGAGGAACTCCCAGATTCGTACAAGCAATCTGTTTTGCATTGTTTTCAACACTTTTCTAGGAATATTAGAATTTACTTTGATGAAATTGAATCTTACTTACAGAGTTTTGGAGATTTTGTTCACAGAGCAATGAGGAAGAGGAAATTAATTCAAAAAGTACCAACATTTGATTCTAATTATCAAATGCAAGTTTTACAGAAAACAATAGTTAAAATGTATTTACAAAAGCCATACCCAATGGAATTGGAATCATATAATGATTATCCTATTTATATTCCTGTGGTGTGTAATGGTGGATTGCAAAACTTGTTTTCTTGTGTTGTTTGTGAAATAGTGTACAATGAGTTGAGACTGTACGAAACAAATGGAAATGAATTAATATTGTGTAATAGAAACTTTGCAGATAATTTAGCACTTCAAAATCAAAGGATAGGAAGTTGTCTTATGATATTGAGTCCAATTTGTTTTAGTGAAGCTAGAGTTAATTGTAGTATTATTCCACATGATCTTTTCATTGTTCTGAATAACTACTATACTCACAAGCTAAACACTTGCTATTCGAATTACTGGTATTCTCTCTTGGATAAGTATTGTCCAAACCAATCAGAACGTGAAATCTTACAGTTCAACTCTAGAAAGTTCGAATCCATGGATGAAGTTAATTATTATATTGAAACAACATTTGCTGGCAAACAATATGAGAGAGAAGTGTTCAATATTCATAACTTGGATTTACCAGTGACAATTCACCTTGATGTAAACATTTCCAGCAAGATGTTGAGATCCAAAATAGTAGAAAAGAAACCAGGTAATGAATTTGAAATTGCAGAAAGAGTAAGATCAATACTAATTGAAAGAGATTTGGGCTTTGATTATGGATTTGTTGGAGAAACGTATTCAACAAAAAATACAGTATCATTAGAAAATAGGTGGTGTTTAATGCTCGATGGCATTAGAGAATGGTTACCTGATAACCAAATCACTGATATGAAAATTAAGAACTTGATAAGAAGAAAGAAAAAGATTATTATTTCCAGAAATGCAGAGTTTACACCAAAAGAACGTTTGTACAATTATTTGATATCAAGCGCATTTATATTGTGTTTCATTTTCTTTAAGGAGAATCACATTGGATTGGACGAATTGACTGATGAGATATGGGAGTATATTCTAAACCCTGTCTGTCAATCACATAATGGAACAATTTTCCACACTCTGCAACAGAGAGTTTTACATCACACTAATATTCACATCCTAAACTATCAAAAAGAGGGCCTTTTTTTAGCAAGTTTTTCTTCATATTTTAGAAAGCAACCATATAGATTCCTTTATTATAATTTCCCTTCTTTAGATAATCCAAGAAGAAGGTCTATGTCATTTCCAAAATCAATGATTCATTATGATATTGGTTTTCCAGACTTTATCAACATGTTTAATTTTTCCAATATTCGTAACTACGATAAGGAATATGATAGAATGATGCTTAATTCACTTTTAGGAGAAATTCTGAGGAAGAGTAAGAAAATAGGATCACTTTCCAATTCATGAAAATATATTGGATCAATATTTGAGATTCAAATCTATCAATTTATGGAAAGCTCTAAGAAAAATTATGAAAACCAAGGTTACCATCAAATACTGAAAGATTTTCGTAATATTCTCCTTACTCTGAAGAGGATAACCAAACTCAAGAGAAGACTCAAGCAAGATTATTCATCTAATTTCTTCCAAGTCTTGGAATTGATTAGTATTTCAATGTTTCCTATTATTCCAATATTATCCTCATACATTCAAAAAACTTTCTTCAACAGAACTGTGGATAATATTCGATGGCCAGATGAGAAAGACACTTGCAATGGCGAAGATTATACTCCACAAAAGTACGTGTACTTTACAAGAATTTGTTCTGGAATTTCAAGAGCTCTAAAGAATGTCGATAGATCAACCAAGTCAGTGATTGTTATTGAGGTGCTACCAGATGGAGAAAAATTCGATCATTATACATTTATTGTAGAAAATAAGGATATCTTTTTATCTTTATTTCCATTATCAGATATCAAAATCAAACTTTTAGACCAAATAACAAATCCTACAATATTTTTACAAAATTAAGATTCAATTCCAAACATCATCAGAATGAAAGATATCTGCTAATGGTTATTTACTTTTACCTTGTAGCACATTAGATTTTAAAGAGAACATTATTCTTGATACTTAACAATAGTATTCTTTCATCATAGTCAATCAAGCAATTGGCTAAAAATCAAAAAGATCATCAAGATTTCAGAAACGATTACCCATCTAAACAATACATTATGAATATAGAACCGTCGTATGATTTGACAACAGAATAAAACTGTTACTTATCAATAAATTGATTCCAGTAATGAATTCCACAATTAATCAAATTAATGCAAGAACTTGTTGAATGAATCTTGTCATTTGGCAGGGTGATTTCAACTTCGTAATGTTCTTCCTTAAAAATCAATGTTTGATTTCGAGAATTTTGAGGTAAATTGAAAGTTCTCACTTTTACAATGTCCAATTCCATGAATTCTCCATTAATGTGGATTGGATAGGTTTCTCTTTCTTCCATTCGAATAGTTTTGATTAATTCTAGTTTCTTGTTAAAACTATTTCTGTGTCATTGGCTCCTTGTTTGATTAACCATCCTTTCTTGTCCAATTTGTCAACTAGTTCTGAAATTTCATTATTTACATCCAAATATTGCAAGTGATTAATGTAGAATCTCATATCATTGTTTTTACCAATAAAAGTATGTGAAATTACTCTCAATTGACCACTAATTACTTTGGTTTTCAATTTCATATTTTCGTCCAATCTCACTTTGAATTCAGTTGATTTGTTATTGACATTCTTGTAAAAACTGACTGAATATTCAGTCATTCTTGCAGGAGAATCGGTTGGACGAAGGAAAGGCACAACGTTTTCACTGACACCAGTAGCAAATGAGTCTGCTGAGGGACCTTTCACTACTTTTGCTTTCTTTCTCATACATTCATTAAACACAGATGAATTTTCTGGCTTGGTAATTTCAGAGAAGATTGATTTTTGCATATTCACCAAATAGTAAACTCCAAATCTAATAATAAACACGTAATTCTCTGGTTTATCTTCCATTTTAGTTAATTGACTAGAAAGCTTTTGATCATACATAGGCGATATCAAGTTATTAGATTCTGGATTGTATTTTTCTAAAGAAGGCCTATGGATTGGAAGTTTGGCATGTTGAGCATGAACATGACCTTTGTAAAATGTGAAATTAATTGGACTTTCTCCTGAATCTCCTTTAAAAAGTGTCAATACAGAGCCATCCACAAAATCTCTAGATTCAGCTCTGAAAACAGGTTTAGCATCAACATTCTTAAATTCCTCAAATGTTTTTTGAATTACTTGTGTTGGCAAAATTGCCTTGGTGAAATCTCTATAAAGGTGCAAGTTGATAAGACATGTTTGAATCAAATCATGAGCATATTCAAGTTTTCTTTCATCACTGGTAGCTGAATAGGATTTTGAATCGTCAAGATTATCTGGAAATTCCATGTTATTTTTCAATTTGAAAAATTTCATAAAATCAATGATTAGTTCGGATTCCTTTTCAAAATTTTCAGATTCCAAACATTTAGAAAGAACTGATTTCATAAAAGAAGAGTCTGAGAACTGTTTCTCCTGGTCCACTGACTCCTTTCTCGTTGGTGGTCTTTCCCTGTGAATGTAATTTCTCAAAATGCAAAAATCCACAACTTCCCAAGTGAGTTGGAAAGTTTTAACATGGAAAGCACAAATCTTTTTGATAATATCGAATAAAATTCTGAGAATAAGCAAGAGTTTCGGCTGTTGTGCTAAATATAATCTCATGTGATGCTTTTTTCTGAACCCAGTATCTCCATTGGTCAAATCTATCAATTCTAAAAATCTCAAATCCCTTTCTTGTAAATAAATTCTAAATAGAGGAACGGATTTGTGATATTCTTCCTTGATTGGTTTGAAATAAGTCGAAAGTCTGTGACATAGATCATCAAAGAATGTTGGATTATCAGAAACTGGTTCAATAAACCAATCACAGTCTGTTTCGTTTGGATCATGGAGTAGAATTGATAAGGATCCTACTATGTAAATATCATCCTGCTCTTTCTGTTGATCTGCAAGATTCTTCTTATATCCATTTAATTTGCTTTCTATTTTTTCTAGTTGGTCCAATCTGAATTTTGCCAAATATCTAGAGATGGAATTAGACAGCTGTTAAACCAATTAGGAAGCTCAATCTTGTTGCTATTCCTAATTTCATTAAATAAATTAGAAAGCTCAATTGCCTTTGTGGATGTTGCGCCTTCCTTGTCAGAAACAGCAATCCATCCGTCAAGAATTTGACTCTGTAAATCCTCAGATTGTACTGTTTTCAATTTTTGGTATGAATTGGTAATTTGACTGGAAACAAGAGTTGGAATCATTCTTGAGTCCCAACATGCAAAGACACTATCACTCTTCAGGATACTTGGGAGAATAACTAATGAATGGTTTGTTTCGTACTTGACTTTCAAAGTTTCGTCATTTCTAACTGTGAAAAGTTTAACATTTGATTGGGAAAGACATGGCTCATTACACACTAGAACAATCGTACCATCCTCTAAATATTCATTTCCAAGTATAACCATCATTTCATTTTCTTTTAAACACTTATTCTCATCAATTAAACTTGTAGTTGTAATTGACTTGTCAATTGGAATAATGAGGTTATTTTGAACTTTCTGCAAATGGGAAGATACTAAATGTCGCAATAAGTCTTCAATAAATGGGTTGTCTGGTATCTCGGAGAGATTTTGGACAGCAGGAAGAGTTTCCCTACACCTTCCCTTTAGTAAATCAAGCAAAAAGTTTGGATTGGTCAAATTACTGACGGTAGAATTGAACCATTCTTCAAAAATAGTTTGAAGAACTAGTGGTTGAACGCCCAAAGCAATTAATGAATGAGTCATAGAGGGAGTGAGATATCCAGGTTCTCCATTATTGATTTGCTCCGGTTCATTACATTCAGTTTCACATAATTGATGCAAATTATCAATAGATATTTCTCCCATTTGTGAAATGATAGTCTCCACAGATTCATACAAGGATGAGTCATAAAAATACATATTTCTCTCCCTCATCATGTTGGATGAACCTCCAAGCGGTAAATAGGTCTTTCCCTGTAAATATATTCCAGAGGGAACTTGTCCAATGATTTTCACTTTAAGAAATCCATCAGTTCCTAACTTGTTAAATAACCTGTTAGTCTCGGATATCTCAGGTAAATGTACTTGACATTCAAAAACTCCATTTCTACATTTTGAAGTAATTGACCTAATAAATCTGTGATCTACTCTGGGAAATTCGTAGCATGTTAAAGATGAATTCATAAGTGAAATGATTTGATCCTCATTTGAAAAAGGATGAGATTGCAAAATGTTGGAGAAGGAAGCTGTATATACTGACATTGCCAAAGAATTCTCTGAGAAACTATTGGAAATTGTAAGCTTTTCCAATCCTTCTGTAAACATGGATAGAATTCTTGGCGTAACCCTGACGAGTGGTAAATTCTCTTGAACACAACTTAAATAATATTTGATTTCGTCACTTTGATCAATCAGCTCATAGGCCTGAGACTCTTGCAAGACAGTAATTTTCGAATGATAAATCCTAAACTTGTGGAATGCCTCTGGAATATCTCCACTTCCCAATCTTGCATAACTATTCCACTTGTTACAGTTCTTTACAACTAATACATAATGGAGCTGATTCATCATACAGAACAAATGTTCCATTCAACCCAAAAAGATCATCACAAAAACTATTCAAATCTTTTAAATCTACATCAACAGGTGCTGATTGCAATGTAGAAAAGAACTTGAACCCATCATCATCATAGCAAAGAGCTCCTTCCATCAATTTGATAACTGACTCATGTTCAGTAAAGAAAACATGATCCACATCCTTTGGTTCAATCCAACCCGAAGGAAAATCACTTAAAATTGCATCAAATACAGTTCTCCTAACATTTACAAACTTGGCTTGTGTAATTTCCACTCCAATCATTGTAACTTGATTGTTCTCATCAGTAGCATTGATTGGTGAAATACTAAATTCACAATTTAATAAACTTGCAGTATTTGGCAAGGAAGCTTCTAATGAAGACGATGAACAATTATTGTAGATGGTAAAGGATAAGAGAGGTTTGTTGTTATTCCTATCATTATTAATATCCAAAGCGATGGATGAAAGTTTTTCATTCCTTTCACCCGAAGATGAAGAAGCAGTGATCATCTAAGTGTTAATTTGTTTTTTTTGAATTTGCACTTGTTTTAAAGTTCATAATAATACTCCATTATGTTCTTCTTGTTTGTGCCATGTACTTCATCATGTTGAGAGAAGATAAGCAATATTGTGCTGTATTGTTTTTTGTTAAAGAAATTTTGCCGCTCAAATTTTACCGTACACAAAAGTTTAATGGTGAAGAAATTTTTTAACAAACAATAAGAAATCAGGTACACAGTAGTATTAATAATAGTGGAAGTTTTATATCTTTATCTTACTAGACCATGATCTAGATGACCTCCAACAAATTCCTTAACTCACCAGGTTCATCATAATTTCAAGTGCAAATTCAAAAATAACAAAATGTACAAAGATCAAACACTACATCAGCAAGATAATAATTGTGATGATCATGATGATCATTCGGATGAGAAAGATCAAGAACTACTTGGTGAGGTTTTCATTCCAGAAATTTGTCTACTTGTGATGGAAATGATCGGAGGCAAAGAAGCACTCAAGATGAGACAAATTTCTAAAGCCTGGCTCGAAGCAAGTGAACACTTTCATGCGATCAAATTGGAATTTACATATGATATTTCCAATTTCTTTAAAATTACTGAACATGTCTTGATGGAGCATGTTTCCGAGTTGGTTATGCTGGATAACAAATTTACTGTGGACAGGTTTAAAAGATTTGTTAAAAATCCTCGTTTGAAACATCTGCAAGTATTATATTTGGAATGTGAGGAGTCGATGGGTAGTTTGTTTGATGATGATGATTCATACGAAGATCAGGAATTCAAGCTTGGGGATAATGTTGCACTTTTTGCTAATTGTGAAAATTTCTCCAATTTGGAAAAGTTGACAATCATCAATCATAATTTAGGAAATACTGGACTTTCAGATATATTCAACAGCCCAGTTTTAAAGAAACTCAAAGCACTTCATTTGGATAGAAATTGTTTTAGCAATTTTGGAACATCTAGCATGGGAACTGACACATTAAAACAGTTGGAAGAATTAACTTGTGGTTGGAATGACTATTCCTACGATATTCAACTTGTGTGCAAGAATCAACTCTTTTCCAATTTGAAAAAACTCACTGTTGAGTTTTCCTTACCAGAGGAAGACTTGTTTAGTATTATGGCCAATCCAGTATGGTCAAATCTGAAAGAATTGTATTTGGCCACCTCTGTAAAAAAGAATATCAGTAGTTTGGCGTGTACTCTCAAACTTGAAAAATTGGCAATCCTAGTCTCTGATTTTGATGCTTGTAAATCCCTAATTGCTAACAAGAGCATTACTCAATCATTGAAATATCTTGACGTTGGTGTCATTCGTGAACATTCTTCAACAGATATTGATAAGATAGGGTCACAATTTGAAACATTCATTTTCACAGTTGTGGGTGATGATGATGAAGACGATAACGAACACTATGCATTCGATTTATTTGGAGAAGAGTATCTATGAAGAATGAAAAGTAAGTACTATTGACTACAGCCAAAACTATTTCTCTATGCTTTTTGGCTACGGGATTGAAGGTTGTAGGATAAAAGTGTAATATATAAAAGGACATCTTATCTGCACTGTCCTCTTCCTCAAATCCAAGATATTTCCAATGTGGAGTTGGTTTATTGTAAAAGGTTCGAGGATGTTTCCATTTGTCTTCGTTTAAATATTTCAGATGTCTGTATTTGCCTAATTTCTCATTCAAAAAAAAAATGTTTAAACAAGCAATTCTTTCAGTCTTGATCGTTGCAATCATTGCTTCCTCTGCCTATGCTTCTCCTATTTTTTCTTTCGTTAAACAATTCGAAAGTGTCAACAAGAGATCTCCAACCTCTTCAAACATCTGTTGTTTGCCAAATGTCTTCTCCATGAAGGGTGTTTTCAATCAAGTTTCCATCGTTGCCAATAACAGTACCTTACAACCAGTCGAAGGTGGTTTCACATTTGCTGGTGATTACAATGCTGGTAAAATTAGACAAGATATCACTTACACAGTTGATGGAGCTGTCAATACCTATACTAATTGGGACTTTAAGATTAGTTCTTCTATTACTGTTTCCTATGATTTACAAAGTGGAAAATGTACTTGTCGTAAGGTTCAAGATTTCAATCAATGGGATGCACTCTGTCTTCCAAATTCTGGAACTGTTACCAAAGCAAAGATTGGTTCCTATGATGCATTGAAGATTGTAAATACTCAATATGGAGCAACTGGTACTATCTGGACATTCAGAGAGCCACAAATGGCCAATGATAAGTGTTGGATTTTGAATACCTTTGTTGTTGTTCCTACTGCTTCTCAAGATCAAACTTATTATGATATGGTTGAAAAGGTTGATTCAAATGTTTTCACTGTTCCATCTTCTTGTCCATCAATTAATACTTGTTTGTCTCAATAAATTATCATAACATGAGTTTTTAATTAGTATTAGATTTATTTGAGTTCTTGAATGACACTAATGTCATTGGTTGGGAGATTACATGTATTATTTCTACAGAGAATTATGGTTGTCTTGTTGTTCAATACCTTGGCATCCTTAAGGTATGGTAATCTTTCATTCATAAATTTGAGACTTTCTTCGTCATCCTTATTGACGAAAACTAGAGATCTGTGAGATTCTACAGTATCTTTGACTATTTCTTCCATTATTGGTTTCAAGTTGGTTACTGTCTTGTCAAATACTAGAGCAATATGAGTTTCTCTCCCTGAAGTCAATCGTGCCAAAGCTGACATTACACCTGGCAATGCACTTGGATGTTCCAAAATGAGACTGGCATTCAATTCAAATATTTTGGATAGTTTTTCTTCATATTCTGCCTTCTTATTTACATCATAGTTTCTCAATCGAACCAAATTCATACAACTGACGCTATTTCCACTTGGCTCAGCAGAATCTTTTTCATTGTAATTTGAATAATGATTAACTGGTCAATTACTTACCACTTGTCTCTTTCAATCTATAGATAATGGTTGGATCATTACCTCTTTCTTCAAAGTATCCACCATTTGTCTGATCGTAAAAGTATGAATCTTGAATATCTTGCAATTCAAATGCCCAATTAAGCCACTTAATTGAACCAGATGCTTCATAGAGATCAATCAAAGCTGAAATCATATTTGCATAATCAGAAAGGAATCCAGCAATATTTCTTTCCTTTTCAGAGTTTTTCTTGAAAATTCTGTGTAATACCTTAGTTTCTCGATCATAGAGTTTTTCATAAATGAAATTGGCAGCTCTTTCGGCAATTTTCAAATAACCTGGCTCTGAGAGAAGGAGGGCTGATCTCGAGAATGCACTAATTACATAAGCATTCCAAGCAGTGATAATCTTGTCGTCCAAATGTGGTCTTGGTTTCATCTTGTTTCTTTCCTTGAATAGAATATCTTTGCAATCCATAATTACATTAGCCACTGATTCAGGTGGAATAGTACTGAATCTATCCTGGGTCTCCTTCAACGACTTATCCATATACAGTACGTTTAATCCAGTCAACTCACCATGTGGATCACTTGATTGTCTCACATTTCCATCTTGTTTTAAATCAAACATGAATGAAAATATGTCAGAAGGTTTCACACTTCCAATATGAGGAACCATATTATCAATAATATCAACAACTTGTTGGTAATCCCAAGCATAGAAAGCACCTTCTCTCTTTTCTTTAGAATCAAAAGTTGGTAAACTGTCTGCATCTTCAGCTGAAAAGAATCCAATCATATCAGATGATTCACCAAGTGACATATCTCTTTCAATGTAGAGAAGAATTTCTTCCAATATTTGTTTGTAGTATTCATTTCTAGTGGCCTTGTATGCTTCTGCAAACACAATTGCTAATTGACCTTGATCATACTTTTTTAAATTGAGTAAATTTGATTCTCCATATCACTTACCATCATTTTCTCAAAGTGTGGAACATGCCAATAGGTATCCACAGAATATCTATGAAAACCACCTCCCAAATGGTCGTACAATCCTCCCCTAGCCATCTTATCCAAAGTAAAAGTGACTGAATTGATAATATCCAACTTTCTCCTATCATCCTTCTCTTCATAGTAAGATCTCAATAGGAAATCAATTACAACAGGACGAGGAAATTTGGGAGCTTGTGAAAATCCTCCATAAACTGTATCAAATGATGAGAGAAAATCCTCAACAGTAGATGCTACATATTCGTGAGCGAATTTCAGAATATGATCTGCACTCTTTGCTGGCTCTTCTTCATTCTCCTTCTCTGTGAATGCCTTCTTTAGAACTGAGACAATCTTATCACCTTGTGAAACCAGAGCTTCTCTCTTATTGGTCCACATGTTGTGAATCTTGTTTAGCAAGGATGGAAATGAAATATTACCTCTATAAATTGATTCCTTCGGTGGAAAATAAGTTCCTCCAAATATTGGTTTCAACTGTGGTGTTAAGAAACAGCTCAATGGCCATCCACCACTTCCAGTAGTCAATTGAACAAACTAATATTCAATCAATCAATAAATATTCGAATAAATTGAATTGTCTAAAACATACTGTCATGTATACTCTATCTATATCTGGTCTCTCTTCTCTATCTACCTTAATATTTACAAAGTTTTGATTCATAATTGCTGCAATTTCTTCATTCTCAAATGATTCCTTTTCCATCACATGACACCAATGACAAGTTGAATATCCAATTGAAAGGAATATTGGCTTATTCTCATTTCTTGCTTTTTCAAAAGCTTCCTCTCCCCAAGGATACCAATCCACTTTACAATATTAACACAATATTATTTAATATTATTTAAATACCTGGATTGTGAGCATGTTGTAACAAGTAGGGAGATGCCTCTTTGGCAAGTCTATTTGTATATTTATGTTGTGATGATGATGATGATTGCATCATTTTCTTTGAATTGAAATGAAAATTCCGATCACGATGAAAAATTAAATTATTGCAAAAAAAGAATTTTTCCAAATCGGAACATGTTTCACAAGAGGATGATTTCCAATTCAATGATTTCCCAAAAGAATTCACAAGAGGAGTGAGTAGAGAATTGGTTTTTGAAATTTTGTTTTGTGAGAGTGAGTGCAGGCCTCGTTTGAACATTTTTTCTTCAATGAATTAAAATTGTAATAATTTAATAATTTAATGTTTATTGTAATTTGCTAGAGTTCACATAATTTTAACAGGAAGTTGCTGCCGCTTATCTGAAATATGGAAAGGCAGTATGATTTTAGATTCCATGAAAAGAGATTTCTAAAGAATTTCATTGTGATAATGTGAAATTTCCAGTCAACCGTTACAAGATTCGTTTTCGGTTTTGTTTAAAAACTGCCACTACTTGCCCCAGATGCGTTTGACATGTTCAACTTGGGAGAAATAACTCTATGAGTTGTTACCCAAACCCCATTTGCATTTGCTAATTTCACCCACTCACTATCCAAAAATGTTCAATCATTTCCATCTTTAATGATTACGAAACTGTTTTTCACAATTATGATTGAAGCTGTTGAGTGTATGAACAGAATCAAAAAAAAATGGTCAAGATATCGTCTATAGTTTCATATTGTTTGTGTTGTTTATTGTTTTTCTATGCAACAGCTGCCCAAAGTCAAGTGTCAAGTGTCGAATTTAATCAAGCTTTTGATGCTGCCATGGCAAGACTTGTTATCACACAAAGTTTTCAAGATTTTGTGACTGTCAATTTACCATTCACAGTTCCTCAATGTAGTCCTCAATTACCTGCCTACCCAACAAGAAATCCAATTCCTTCATCTGTCAAATCATTAAAGATGTGTTATGAAGATGTGACAGAATTAGAAAAGGTTTATTTTGACTTGTATCGAATGATTGGTAAAGGAATTATCGATCAATTGAATACCAATTACAAAACAACATTGGAAGCTCAATATGTACTTGTCAACACAAGTCAAGGATTTTTCGATTCCATGACAAATGCCTTAAATAGTGGAACATGTGACGTTGTGGTTTCTAATGCTATCATTACTGAAGAAAGAACAAAACTTGTTACATTTGCTTCATGTCCATATGGTTTCACTTTTGATGGTTTCCTTCGTGGTGAGCTAGACATGGATAAATATGTCAATGCCACTTCCATTTCACAACTCAATCAACCATTTTACAAAATTGGATATTATGCAGGAACTTTATATGAAGGTGTAGCTAACCAATCATTCCCACTCGCTCAAAAGTTTCCTTTAGGATATGATGAACAATTCGAAATGATTCTCTCAAAGAAAATTCATGCAACTATTGGTTATGCCTATGATTTGAGTGCTTGGCAGAGAAATAATGTGAAAAATTGTCCTTCTTGTTATGTGAGAACTTTTGGTAATGGAAGAAGTTTTGGAGCTTTTGTGGCACGTACCAGTAGATCGAGTGAAAGTTATCAAGTTTCGTATAGTACTTGGTTGAGTTTCGTATTGATTATTTTTGCATTATTTATTGGAATGTAATAAAGAAATTGTTTATTATTTGGATTGTTTCTAATAGAATAGATATGAATTCTGATAAATGTGAAGAAAAGGTTCTTGGATGGCAGAAGTTTCAAACTATTATGAGTTTTCGTGTCATATGAACTTTTGATTGTCCAAATCGATAACTGACAGATGGCATGTTACCAACAAACATAACGGAAACTTTGACACAAGAGAAACCTTTCGATCACAAAAAAAATTAAAGTCATCCAATACCTGCCACCTGCCAATCAAAAAAATGAGCAAGGAAATGGATACCTTCAGCAATATCCTTCCAACAGACAACAATAACAACAACACAACAACTACAACAACAGGAGGTGTTCTTCCTGTGACGTCAAGTGTCAATAGTTCAAATTCGCTGTCAGCACATCAACAATACAAAAATTCACCCATGGCAACATCACCTTCTGAAAATCAAGCCATTATTATCGGCTCTGTAGGAAGCCAATCCTCTACCGATCAATCAATGGGTATTTCATCAAATGACAAGAGACAGTCCACATCATCTTCTTTAGTAAATAGTGGACTCGTACTTGTCGATCCTTTAAAAGCAGAAGTTCAACGAATTGTGGAGAAGAATAAGGATAAAAATTTGTTTGGAAATGGAGAAAGAAAAGGTCCAAATAAGGAACAAGTTTGGAGTTGTTTAAAGAGTTTGAGAATTACAACACTTGTAGTTTTAACATTCATGTTTACAATTATGATTTTGGCATTTGTTGTGATTATTGGAACTCTTTTACCTGTGAATTTTGGTCAATTGGAGAAGAATGATAGTTCGAATGCTTCTAGGAGAATGATGAAAGTTTTATATGATGATTTGAATATTAATTTAGTTGTAGGTTGATTGAAATTTGGTAATTTGATGATTATATTGTTTTTTAAATTATATTGTTAATGGATTATATTGATTTTTGTTATGAATTGAATTGTAGAATTTATTGCCATTTTCTGCTTGGACAGTTCCGTATGATATTTTCAAGAGATATGCCAATAATTTGGCAACTGTCAATGAAGTTAGTGATTATATGGATTCAAACTTTCCAAAGGCAATCATGACATCATCTAAAGTTAATTGGGTTGTTTATTATTTCAAGAATGGAACAGTTGCTGTTCCAAGATCAATTGATTTCTCAACTGGAATTATTTCTACAAGTATTTCATCACTTCCAACGTTTTTACAATACCTCCCATCAAGTCATCCATTGATGAAAAACATGGACTCTCCAAATACTAGAAATGGTGGATTTTATAATTACAATTCACAACTTGTTATGCTTTCTGCATCTCCATTGTCTGTGAGTGATTATACAGATCAATCAGATACTTCAGGAGTTTTGGTTTTTGGTAGAATTATGAGCTCGAAATTTATTAATGCATTGGCAAATAGTGCTCAGTTGTGTTGCTCATTCCATTTACTTTCGGATACAAGTGATGCAGTTGTTTCAAGTTATTCTAAACAAGTGAGCTCAGTGAATGGAACTTATGTTTATCAAACTTCTGCTGATTGGGACAATTTGGATGTTTTTGCCTATGAAGTTCTCTCTTCTGATTCTCTTTCAAAGAGACAATGCTGGAAAACTAATGGAACTATGTTGAGTGAACAAAGATTTGCCTCTCTAGAATTAGTGAATGATATTTATGGTAACAAGTTGATGATTGTAAGAACTGATATTGCAAGAGATGTTTACTTGTTGGGAATTCAATCGGTCTTGTTGGCCATTGGTTTATTGCTTGTTGTTTGTGCCATTGCTTCCATGATTGTCATCTTTTTCATTGAGAGAAGAGTCTTGTCACGTCTCACAACACTCACCACTCAAATTCAACGTATTACAGCATCCAATGACAGCAAACAAAGAGTTTCAGTTTCAGATTCAACAACAGGTACTGATGAGCTAGGAACTGTCTCCAAGAATATTAATTACATGTTGGATAGTTTGGATGTTCTCTTGGAGCAACAAATTCAAGAGCAGGAATTATTGAAAAAGCTTTTAGAAAGAATTTCAGTTGCTGAAGAAAGAACAACCTCCATTATGAATAGTATTAAGGATATTGTCTTGACAGTTACACCTGATGGTTTTATTTCACATGCAAACACTGCATTCTATGAAAGATTTGGTTATAGTGCTGTGGATGTTGAAGGAATTACCAAGATGCCTCTCGATAAAATCTTCCCTCAATTGAAAGAGGCTGCCAAAGCAGGTGAGGGCTTGAGTCAAGTTATTTCCAGTTATGATGATCTCATGTCACATCCATTCACTGGTGTCACAAAGAAGAGAAAGAATATTGATTTTGATGCCTATATCACCAAATCTAAAATGTCATCTGGAGATCAACATATGTTTGTCTTTGTTGGTAGAATTTCATCACAAATGTTGGGCTCTTCAATTTCTAAATCCAGTTCACTCTTCTCAATGGACAATGAATTTGACAGATTACTCTTAAACTCTGAAGAAAAGGAAAGATTTAAACAATTCTGTAAATCTGAAAAATCTGAGGAAAATATGTTATTCTTGGATGCAGTATTGGAATACAAGACATTTAAACATACTCATGAGAGAATGATCAAACAAGAGAGTATCATTCAGACCTTCTTAATGGAGGAAAAATCATCCTTTCCAATCAATCTTGCTGGCCATGTTGTAAAGAAGGAAATGGGTGTTATTGTTAAAGGTGTAGGACAACTTGATTTGTTCGATAAGCTGTTCAATGCTGTCAAGTCAAACCTTGCCCTGGATACATTCTCTAGATATAAGATTCAACAACATAATCTTCAATACTTGTAAACAATTAATGTGTGAATATAAATTTATCATTTCAAAATCTAGAATTTTTCCTCATCAACCAATTTTGTCAATTCCTCATAAACTTGCTCCTCGTGTCTGTATCTGTTGGAATAGAGCATCCAAAGACACATTCCATCCATGAGCTTTTCTACTCCTCTAATATAATCCAATTGCTTCTCGTTACAATTATCTACACACAATTTCATAATGGCCTCAAATTGAGATTTCGATTCAAGGATATAGTCTAAACATTGATTTGTTGCCTGCTCTAATGAAAGATCCTTATTATTCTTCAACAATACCTGAATATACGATAAATTCGAATCCAATCCCAATAAATTTCCTCCTGATGGCAGTACCACATCCTTATGATAGGAAAGTAAATCATTAACCATTGAAAAAACAATAGCACACAATCTGTGAGCTTTTGAGAAGAGTTCAGTATTGTAATCCTCCCCAATCAACCCAACTGCATTTCTACTCGAAGTAATTTCCAAAACATTCAACATGGCATAAGTGGCACTATCATAAATTCTCCTCTCCAAATAATTTTCAGGTGTTTCATTCTCTTGATTACCCCTCACTCCAATATTGAAAAATCCCTCCATATTTCCCACAAATCTATCAATTGTCTCCTGATTTCCAGTCATTAAATGTAAATCCTCCATAATTTGAATCAGGAAATTGACATGTGGATCCTTACTCTCAACCTTACCATCCTCCAACTTTCTATAAACCCTCAAAACCTCAACCAACTGATCAATCAAACAATTCTTCCTTTCCATCGCCTCCCTATCATCATTCTCCACAACACTATCAATCCGATCATCAACACTAAACAAGAAGAAGAAATAATTGGTAATAAATTTCAAATGTTGCAATTGTACTTGTTGGCAAGCCTTTCCAGCATCATCAACATCAACAACATTTTGATAATTTAAATTCGATGGATAATAACAATTATAAATTAATCCAATATGATTGTATTGGTCGAGTTTGGAACGAAATAATTGAGCATGTTTCGGGGAGGAAATTATTGAATGTTTTAAGCATTGTTGGATTAGATGGTCTATGGCAAGTTGGCGATTTGGATCGTGAATTCTCGGAGGAGGACATTTCATTAAAAAGTAGGGAAGATGAGCGATAGATATTTTGTTCATCATTTTTTTTTAAATATTTAAATGTTAAATATTTAAATTATTAAAGAATATTTAAATATTTAATTTGACTAATTTGGACATCAATCAATTTGTTGGATGAAGTTTTAATGAGCATATACAAATAAAAAAAATGTCGCAACATGTTGATGATGATAGAAAACAAATTTTTCAAATTCCTGCTGAACAATTATCTCGTCAAGTGCTCCGAGGAGAATTAACATCACTGAAATTGATTGAATATTTCATCTCACGAATTGAGAAAACCAACAAACTTTTAAATGCTGTTTGTATTCCACTCTTTGAAGAGGCCAGAGAAGAGGCATTGAAATTGGATAAGTGGTTATCTGAGGAGAGACCTACGGATCAAGATGAAAATTTAATGAGTGAATGGATTGAGAAGATTCTCTGTGAAAAACCCTTATTTTCAATTCCTGTTACCATTAAAGAGTCTATTCATGTTAAAGGAACTCAATGTACAATGGGTTTAAGCAGTAGAGTGGGTATTCTCGCTCAGGATGATGGAATTCTTGTGAAGAGATTAAAGAATGCTGGAGCCATCGTTTTGGGAAAGACAAATGTTGCATTAATGTTGGCTGCTGATGATTCTGATAATCCAGTTTATGGAAGAACCAATAATCCATTCGATTTGACACGTACCTCTGGTGGAAGTAGTGGTGGAGAAGGAGCAATTATTGGAGCTGGAGGATCAATATTGGGAATTGGATCAGATATTGGAGGATCTATTAGATTGCCTTCATCACATTGTGGAATATTTGGATTGAAACCAACAAGTGGAAGATTAACATTGAGTGGACATGCTGAGCTGTATAGAGGAATGGAAGCTATCATGTCACAAATGGGTCCTATGGGACGATCTACAAGTAACTTGATTACTGCCATGAAAGTTTTAACAAGATATGAATACGATGATTATTCTAGTGGATTTTCACATGAATCTATCAAGCATCCACCTGTAGAGTTGAGAGATCCATACAAGATTGATATTTCCAAGTTGAGAATTGCACTTTTCAAAGACAATGGAATACTCACTGTTCCAAAATCAGTTAAAAGAGGTCTTGATGAGGCAGCTCAAACATTGAGAAAACTTGGAGCTCACGTCGAAGAAATTGAACTTCCAAAAGAAATGAAAACATTTGAGAATTGGAGGAGCTATGTTCATTTCTTAATGGGAGATGGAATGAGCTGTTATAGAAAGGAAATAGCTGGAAGTAAATTAACACCAATGGCCAAGAGTATCAAATATGTATCCTTGTTACCGAAATGGTTTGTTGGAGTGTTGGGAACTGTGGTTTCATGGTTGGGTCAAACAATTTTAGCCAAATCAATGGATAGTTTCCTTCCTATTACTGTTTCAGAATTGTGGGGACATGTAGCTAACAGAGATGATTTCAGAAGATCATTCTTCGAGTTGCTTGATAAGGGAAGATATGATGCTGTTTTGTGCCCTGCAAGCTCTGTCAATTGTAAACATGAGAATGTGCCAGATGTTGTTTTGAACATGACATATGTACATCTTTTCAATTACCTTGGACTCCCGGCTGGTGTTTGTCCTATAACCAGAGTTTCAGAATCAGAACAAGAAGAAAATCACATTTCCTGCCCTCTCTCTAAAAACCCAAATGAACTCCCACTTAAGATTTGTAATCAAAACTTTAAGAATAGTAAGGGGTTACCAGTTTGCATTCAAGTTGCTGGTCGTTATTGGAGAGAGGATGTTGTACTTGCGATTATGAATGCTCTTGAACAAGAACTCAAAGCAAATGAGGACTTCCCGTTAAATTATGATTTTGTAAAGGAGCAAGTAACTGACAAGTAAAGAATATATTGTACAAGTTTATTTTTCCTTTTCAACAAACATTTGTCTGAGTTCTCTAGCCATTTTCACACATTCGGATGCACTAGCTCTTTCGTTAGGATCTATCCGCAGTGTCTTACTCAAAAAGTTGATAAGTAAAGAATGTATTTGTGGATCAGGATAAGCTTTCTTGACCTCAGCTTCAATATTATTCTTCCAATAATCATCAAAGTTATATTGAGCCAGTATGGCATGAGAGATTTGTTCTCTTCCAATTTTCAATGTAATCATTTCATAGACCATGACTGCAAAACTCCAAATATCTACACCAAGCCCATAACCAGAAGAGGAGGTCTGAATTTCTGGTGCAATATATCCTGAACTTCCAAGTTGAGTATAAGCTCTTCCTTCTTCTACTTGTTTTGCAAAGCCAAAATCTCCAATCCTATTTAAATAGATATCAGTTAGTTCCATAATTATGTGAAAACTTACTTTAACTGTTTGTATCCCTCGGTAAAGAAAATATTCTTATGTTTCAAATCTCTGTGAACTACCTTATAATTATGCAGATATTCAATGCCCTTGGCTATTTGAACAATCCAATTTGCTAATACTACAGGTTTAAAATATTTCTTTGGCTTTGATCTTTGCTTTCCTTCTAATAAAGCATGCAAATCTCCTTGTTTATAGAATGGCATAATATAACAAACATAGAATATAAACTCTCCCATATTTTGTTCAACATCCAAAAACATATCTTCATATAATACAAGATTTTCATGAACCAAGCTCTTAAATGGCCATGCTTCTTTGATTGCTCTGTTGGCGTCTTCCAATGTTTTACACATGATTTTCTTTAAAGCTTTTTCTTCTCCTGTTTTCTCATCCTTTACCACAAACACCTTTGAAAAATGTCAAATCCAGCTCCAAAGAAACCAAAACTTACAATTCCAAAACCACCCTTTTCCAAGTTTCTAATAATGGTATATCTATTATTCAATTTACTATCCTTCTTGGTATTTAAAAAACTTGAAACATTCTTAATTGATGGAGCAGTTCCACCTCCTAAATTTTGAATGAGTGACGAGTTCAGATATGCAGAAATTTCAATTTTAGAAGAATCTTCCTTTCCGAAATTGTGAGGATATACTACAATATCAAGTTGTCCACTTTCTACTCCATCCAATGGAAGACTCATTACATTTTCCCTATCTCTAATAATTGTCGAAAGTGGAATATCAGCCGATCCCAAGAAATCGTCCAATTTAGAATTATCCTTGTCCCATATATAAATTGAAATTGTATCAAGTGGATTATTATTGTCGTCACAAGTAACAGATACCTAAAAGTTTAATAATTATTACAAAATAATAATAATTTAAATAATATTATTTAGATTGACCAATACAAAACAACTCACCTCAAAAACTTCTCTCCACTCTGGATTAGCTGATGATTTAGCTGTCTTTGATTTTAATTTTCTACTCGTATAATAATCAGAGGTTGCACTCGATCTTGCATGAGACCACACAACAAGGAATGGATCTAATTATTGATGATGATGATTGATGAGAAGTATAAATAAATAATTAATATTATTATAAATTATTATTATTAGTAAAATCATCACTCGTTTAAACATACCATTATTTTCTCTAAAAGCCAAATTAACTCCCCTCTTTATATAAATTTCAAGTCGAGGAGCATCCGCAGAAGTACTTGTTATGAGACAACTTTTCCTATTCACTTCCCATTTGCTTTTTAAATTTTCCGATGATGATGATTCCATAATGATCAGATCTCTGCTAGTATCAATTTTTTGCTTCGTCCAATGTTCCTGTTTATTGTTCTTCCTATTATTAATCTTGATTTTTTAGGACCAACAGAGCGAAGATGAAACTAGTTTAATTTTTTTGTTTTTTAAAAATTGAAAAATAGCAATTTGGAATGTTCACCTCAATAATTATTTAACTTAATTGGATGCTTTGTGAGCAGCAAATTGAAAAAGATATGGAATTTATTAGTAATTGATATGAATAATTGGTAACTCGGAGGATGTGCCAATTCGTAAAGGAGGTCCATAAAAACCAGCCCCTGAACAAACATAGAGTAATGGATTGGAAGGTTTCAAAGCAATAGAGCTAAGGGACTTGACAGTTTCAGATTCAAAATCAAATCCATACCATTCATAGTCAGGATGACCAGTAATAGCCTCAACAAAACCTATCCTTAGAGATCTGAAGAAATTACGAGCACTGAATTGTCCACCGTGAAAATGTCCACTAAAAGTAATAGATGGAATCTTGTCATTCAATTCACTAGCAGCATATTTAAAGTGAGAAGGATTATGTAATAATAAAAGTCTTAAATCTACATCCTTCTCCATCTTGGCATTACTTGCTACTTGTTTAGATAAAATGTCAGCATTCTTAAAGAAGTAATTGAAACCTGTCAATTGAATTCGTTTCTTCTTCAATACCAAACTTTCATCTGTAAGAATTGTAATTTGTAATCTTTTTAGCTGGTAAAGAACAGTATCCAGAAGATCTATATCATGATTTCCTAGAGCTACATAGACATTCTTGTGAATGGATTGGAGTGGTTTCAATCCTTCATAAATTGCATCTTCGAAGGCAACGTTAAATTCTGATTCAAAAGTGAAAAAGTCTCCCATAAAAAGTACAAGCGTATTTTCTGGATCTCTATTTACAATATTCAAAATGTCCTGACTCAAATTTGAAAAATCCTTAACACTCATTGAATGCCCCAAATGTACATCACTAATAGGAATAATCTTAATGTATCTCTTTTGATCCAATCCTTTTGAAACGTTCACTGAATGTTCCATTACAACTCTTGGACTCAAAGTATGATAAAGTCCAAACAAACACAAAGTTACTGAAATAAATAATATAATTTTCTTCATTGTCTCAAAATTGTCACTCAATTTCCTCATCATGTAGTAAATCGGAACATAAAACACTAGCAAAAATGTAAGGAATAGCATGGCTATCATTTGCCACAAATTACCAACATATGTTATGAAAATTCTAAAGTAAAATGATTTCATTCTTCCACTCATATTAGAATAAACTTGTCCATACAATGCCAATGATAAATAAATTAAAATAATAAATAATAATTGTCTCTTAATTCCTTTTAAATTTACAAATATATCCGAGAGTATTCTTTTAATCGAATAATAGCTCATCAATGTTGCCATTATCAATAAAAACATATTCTTCATCCAAATATCCAATCGAGTGGCACGTTCCGGAAAGGCATCCAAAGCTTCATGACTAAACACTCGTTTAAATGTACAATAAATTGCTAGCAACACAAAGGCTCCTCCGTGAAGCCTTTTGAACACTCTATGTTCGGGCCACGTAGTCATTATTCAATTAGTTTGATTTTTTTTTTGAAATTGTGCGATTGTTTTGGCGCAGTTGAGCAACTTTACAATCTAGGGAGAAGCTTATTTCAACTTCTCCTCGTTAGCACAAATCAAAATGTGTAATTGATGTAATTGAACTCGTCAATTCATGGAAGAAATGTAAATTGTTAGATTTTATGCATAATTAATATTGGAATAAATTAGAAAAGGAGAGTTTTGTATCGTTTAAGAGGCATTGATTTGAGAACATCCTCAACCATGAGTTGTCTATCAGAACATAATCCAAACATTATATCTGCAATCGTTTTGGAGAATTTGAGTTCATCTTTGGCTTGTTGAATGGCAATGGATTGAAGAGCTTTCATCCTTGTGACACTGATAGTGTCAGTTTCCTGTTTTACAAGTTCCTCAACTATTCCCTCTATTTTCCCTCTAACATTGTTCAACTTTTCCACTATGGAGTTATATTCTAACTTTAATCTGTGGAAAGCCGATTCGAATTGAGGGAAATAAGCTAAAAATTCACTAGATTCATTCTTCTTAATAATTTCTATAAAGGAGTTTTCTCTTTTTTCCACGGAATCGAATAAGGTGAGTGAAATTTTCACATATTCAGAATTTTTAATCTTCACTCTAATGAAATCAACTGATTCAGACCCGTTGTTATCTGGAGTTTCATAACAAACGACAAACCCTTCGTGTTCATAGGCATTTCTTTCATCAGCCATCTTGGAAACATCTTCCAATGATTTGAATCCGAATTTTTCCTTAACGCATGTTGCGTATTTCCAATTGAATTGTTGAGCAAATGGTTCAATTGATTTTTCTGAAAATGTTTCCAAGCATCTCACACCATGTAAAATTAAATTATCCTGTTCTGGATGTTGTACAACTAATGGATGTTTTTGAGTTAATAATTCAAATGTAAATGAATATTTTCCCTCAAATTCTGTTGGTGGTATTTTGAAACCGAGGTCATTAAAAGCATTCCACACCAAATCAGCAAATACAAAAGTCTTTGATTCCTGTCTATGTTTTTCATTTTCCTCTTTATCCTTTGAAACTGAATAAAATCCCATCTTGGCACTTCCATCAGGAGTTGATGATGAAGCCACCCTCCATTCTCCATCAAAAAAGTAAAAATTCACAATTGATCCATCGAATTTCTCATAAATTTTAACATGATCGAAATGTTCTGAAATAATTTCTGAATCTCTCTTAGCCATTGGTTCATTAAAATTGAAAAACTTTGAAAAAGGCATATGAACAATCCTCATCTCTTCCAAATCTACAATTACTCCACGACATGCCCTAGTCAATGAATTTTCAAAATTTGCTCTCGTTTGATTATAATGCAAACAAATTAATCTCTGTGGATATTTCCCATGAACGGTCACATTGACAGCATGTTTCAATTTCATTTCCTCTCCAATAAATTGAACCAAAGTTTTATGTGATGAAGAATTTAAACAATCGGAATTTGAAGAATTAATAATACAATCACCATGATCGGAGCAAGTCTTCAAATAATCAGCCTTTATACGATCCAATTCATTTATTATTAATTTAGCATTGAAAGAGCTAGATTCAAGTTGTGCCATTTTTTTAAAGTTAGGTGTAATAATAATTCTTTTTCAAAATTGCAGCACACGTTCAAAAATTCCATTGTAATAAGTGGTTTTGATTTCCGTAGATGTCTTGAGGCTTTTTTATGACTTAAAATTTACGGCAAGATTTCAGATTTTCATACTGTCAATGATATCAACAATCATCAAAAAAATGTCTAAATATTCACCTAGCCAGATAATGGCAGTTTCTCAAGGGATGAAGGATAAACTTCATGAGGTTGCCAGAACTGCAGTACTTTCCGATAACGAAATGGACGAAAAAATTATCATTAGTTTTGTAGGACCTAAAGATTGTTATAAAACAGGAGTATGTTTATTGGGATTTTAATGGAATTTACATGTTTTGGATAATTCAAATTGTTTTTCGAAAGGTTCTGTACACTCACGGAAAGAAGAAAGTTCCAAAAGAAATGGAATTACCAATTTATTTTGCACACTCTAATTACGTAATTAATTTGAGTGCAGATCATAGAGTTACATTCGATCCTCGTGATTTGAGAGATGACGATGATGCAGAAGTATGTCTTTTAAATATTTTGAATAATATTTAAATATTCCAAATATGGAAAATTAAAGACTATTGGAATTAGAAAAGATGCCTACTATTACTCAACAGGATTTGTTCTCTGTTTCAATCCATACGAGAAGGAGCATCTGAAATTATTAGAAAAAAAATACCTTCCTGAAATATTAAGTGTCAAAAAGAAAGCAAAAAAGGAAATGCCATTTGTCTTATTTTCATTTGATTGGAATCCAAAAGGTCCAGTGAAAAGAAATATCGAAGATAGAATACCACATGATGATATTATCAATTTTGCAAAGAAGGTAGGAGATATGACTGCCTTCATTGAGTTACCTCAAGTTTCAGTGGATTGTGTTGATTATGTAATGAATATTTTATTAAGATGTCTTTACCAAGCAAATGGACAATTCAGAAAGAAGGTTTGTTTTTTTAAATAATTATATATTTATTAATATTATTGTAAAAAATATTTAAAATATTTAAAATATTTAATATTTATTTAAATTTATTAAGGGACTTGATGATTCGGATTTGGAACAAATGGAAACCTATGCTGCTAAGAAACAAAAAAAGTGTCTCTTAATGTAATTGTCGTCATCATTATGATTTAATTTTGAAAATATTAATAATAATAATAAATTGTGCGCTCATCATTGTATGAGAGAATGTATTAAAAAATCAAATTCTTCAACCTTAACACTTTAAAGCCATTCGTTCCTGGTATCATCGAGATAATCTATATAATGATAATGATATCAAGCCTTGTTTTTCTTGAATTTTTCCTTTGCCACTAAGAATAAGTGATAGATGATGAAAAATCAAAAGATTAAAAAATGAGTGGTTTTGCCACACCCAATAATAATGGTGTATCATCACCCACCTCTTCTTCATCAATTAATAATACAAATACTCCAACAAATAATGGTAGTGGATTTTATAGTATGAATAATTCTGTAAATAATCAGCTACTACAAAAATTAAATTTCCCAACAACTATAAATTTTCTACAACGAGAATTTCGTAAATACGAGAATGAAAAGGAGTTATGGGAATTAGAGAGAGGAGAGTTATCGACAACTATTTCGCATCTTGAAGCTTTTCGTAAAAGTCAAGAAAAGATACAATATGATTTATTGCGTAGAATCAAAATGTTAGAATTTGCTCTTCGAACGGAAAGATCAAAATATTCAACACTTGTAGATTATATTAAAAACACAGAAACTAATGATGGTGATTACAAGAAGAACTTGATTTCATTTTGTGAATCACTTGTAACAACAGCAAAACCAGTGAATGATGTTCCTCCAAGTAAACCTGCTTCTACAACTAGTATAACTACATCCGGAGCAAAACCAAAGAGTTTAGAACTTTTAAGAGGGTAAGTTTTGTTAATGATCGGTGTAAATTAAGATTTTCTTATTTTCTGTAGCTATTTGAAAGAAATTGATTCATCAGATTTAATGTCCCTCCTTGTGGACATACCCGACAATATTCCATCGACTGCTATGAATTCTAATTTGGTATTACCAAGTTCTGAACCAAGTAAAGATGCTGGTTTAGCAACAACAGAAACAACACCATCAACACCAAAATCTGATATTCAATCACCAGTCTTTAATTCACCTACAGTAATAACAACAGAAAATGAGTCATCAATACAAGAAACAAAACCAAAACAAGAACCAGTTGCAGAGTTGCCTACAACACCAACAAAAGAGCATAAAAAGAAGAACAAGCATAAAAACAGTTCTTCTAATGAGATTCCTGAGGATGAGGATATGAGAAAATTCATTACACAATTAAGACAAAGAGGATATTCTGATAAATTAATTGAGAAAAAGATTGGAGCTAAAATTCCTGATGACATGTTAGAGGAAGTTAAACCTTGGAAGGATGAAGATAATTCAAATAGCAAAGAGGAAGGAACATTTTTCGGAAGGAAGACATTATCATGGAATACTGAAGAAACTCAACAACTACCTACACAATTACCACCAATGCCAGTCCAACAACCACAAATTATCCACCATCAACCAATTTCTTGGAAACCTAAATATACTCTTAGACATCATTTGGATTCTATAAGATCTGTTGCATTCCACCCAACTTTGAATTGCATGATTAGCGGTTCCGAGGATTGTACATTAAAGGTTTGGAATGTTTCTGGACTCACTGGTACTAAGTAAGTTTCATTTTTAATTTGAATAATATTAACAAGAAACAGTGATACTCCAATTCAAACATTGAGAGGTCACACAGGAGGAGTTTGTACTGTTAAATGTGGTTCATCACATTGTTTTAGTGCAGGTTTTGATGAAACAATTATTGTATGGGATATTCCTCAATTGGATCATAATCCATACACAAATTATGGTTTTGCTACTCCATTCTTAAAGACTACACTCAAAGGACATACAGATGTTGTTTGGTCTCTTTCCTTAAATGAAAGTAATCAATCACTGTTATCAGCAAGTTCTGACGATTCAGTTATTCTTTGGGATTATGAAAGAGGAGAAATTAAGAAAACTTTCATGCTTTCAAAGATTGGAACACCTACTTGCGTTTCTTTCTTGCCAAGTGATACTTCCAAGTTTATTGCCTCTTTCACTAATTCTAAAATTGCTGCTTTTGATGTGGAAACAGGAAAATCAATATGGATTTCAGAGAATATTGATGATGGTAAGACAGACGCATTAGTCTATCAATTCGCATGTCACGATAAACTCCCAATCATAGTAACTGCTAATGAAGATAAGAAGATCAGATTCTATGATTCATCAAGTGGTAAGGTACTTAGTCAAATGGTTGGTCACAAGGAGGCAGTTACTTCAGTGGCCTTTGATCGTAGTGGATTATACTTTGCAACTGTTGGTCATGACTCCTCTCTAAGAGTTTGGGATATTGGTTCCAAGTCTTGTGTTCAAGAACTTCCTGGTCATAGAAAGAAGTTTGATGAATCTATTAATTGTGTTTCCTATCATCATTCACAAGATTTACTGGCTTCGGGTGGTGCTGACAGTATTGTAAAAATTTATACCAGTTAAACATTTGTTATATAATGTCTTTACAATTTATTGATTCCTCTTGAGCTTCTTTTCGAGACCTAAAATTCTGGCTTTAAGATCACGTTCCAACTCTTTCTTTTCCTTATTAAGCGAAACAAGTTTCTTCTTAGAGGTTTCCAGATCTTCCCTATATTTACGAGTTCTTTGTTTGTATTGTCTTGATCCAAGTTCAAATCGGACAAGTTCTTCAACCATCTGTCTATATTTCATCTTGAGATGTAAATATTTCTTTTCATAATAGTAGACTTGTTTTTTAGCAGTTTTTGGTGAAGGAATGTTGAGGAAATAATCACTTTCATCTTCTTCAAAATCATTCCACTTTTGGGTAAACAGCTTTTCAAACTTGGTGACTTTGGTTGTTGGCTCAATCTCATAGAATACATCTGTTTCAACACAGACATCCTTTTTCTCAGACAAGCTCTGTTCATCAGTTTGTGGAGATAACAAACTAAGAGGAGTAAGGGGAGTACCCTCAACAGAATGATCAAGAGACATTGGTGTAGTGTTCGTTTGGGCTTCATGTCCAAGGTGTTGCTCCACATCTTCATATGATGTAAGAGCGTAATCTGGACTTAAACAAGATTGCAGTTCTTTGACTCTCTTCATAATTTCGTCTTCATGCTCGAGGTCTTCCCGTAATGAATAATCAGGAGTAGGTTCATAGTTTTGAGAAATACTAGTTCCATCCTGTGGTAAATCTACATTACAAATATCGTCATCAGTATTGGCTTGCTCTTCAGATTCTAAATGATTAGGAGTTTGAATTTCATTAGAATAAACAATGTCAAACTCATCAACGTCCTCTTCCTCCTCTTTGCTTCCCTGTACGGAAAAGGTTTCATTATTTGTTTCAATAGTTTCAATGATTTCAATGTTGCTTGGTTGTGTTTCGTAGTTTACATCATTTTGGCTTAAAATTACAAGATTCTTCTGTTTTACAATACGTTCCAACTTTTCTGTTTCTTGTTTTACAATGTCCTCAAGTTTGGTTCTTTGATTATTAAGGGACATGATTTCTTCTAGGTTTCTCTTTTTCTCATCAAGCAAAACCTTCATTTCCTGTTTCTTGGCTGTTATCATCTATATCAAAATTCTCCTTTTCTGCTTGTTTCAATGCAGTTATTTCTTTCACTTGAGAAGTGACCAATTCAAGTTGTTGATTGAGAGTATCCAATTCTGATTCAATATCTGATTTAGAGTTAAGATCTCCAGAAATTTGTTCTGTTTGGGATGCATTTTCAGATTGATCATTTGGATCAGTGATAACTGATGCTTCACAAAGCTCCTTTTGATATTGTGATTTTACCTCCTCAATTTGTTTTGAAGTTTGTTCCGTAATTTCCTCAATTTGTTTAGAGGTTTTCTCTGTAATTTCTTCAATCTTCTTGTTGCTTTTTTCTGTGATTTCTTCAATTTCCTTTTTACTTTGTTCCTGGATTTCTTCAATCTTTGCATTCATTGTTGTGCTCACTTCTTCTATTTGTTGCTTCAATGTGTTATTAGTAGACACGAGTTCAACAATTTCCTTCTTCTTTTCTTCAATAACTTGCTCACAGGCATCCATACTTCGCAATAAATTGGTTTCCCTCTCGGCATAAGTCTCATAATCACTTTTAGCTTCGGTTGACAAATTTTGAAATCTTGATTTCATTTCATCAATTTGATCCTTAAAGCTTGAGATTTCCATACATTTAATTTCAATGGCATTCTTCGATTTGTCATTTTCTTCCCTCAATCTATCAATTTCTTCCTTTAACTTTTGAATTGTTTGTAAATTTTCCAACTCTGATTTTTCTTCTTGCTTTAAAATCTTCCATTCTTCGGAATTTGTAGGTGTTGCTCCTTCTTTAAGCTCCTTCAATTGTGAAGTTAAGGATTGGTTAAGATCAAATAAGTTACTAACTTCCATCATGGTAAGATCATAATTCATTCGTAAAGCATTATGTTCCTTCTCAAGGATACGAAGTTGTACAGAAGAACTTGAATTGGCCTTATCCAGCTTATTTTGCCTGTAGGTGTGCAGTCTTCTCAACTGTTCTACAGATCCGGTTCCCTTCATTTCTTCCTCATGGAGCTTGGATAACAATGTAAGATCTTCGATATCTTGAATCTTTTGTTCACTTAGAGCCAATTTGGTTTCCAACTCCTTGATCTTTTGTGCTGAATTCTTAAGTTCCGTACTTCTCTTCATGGTTTCTTCAACTGCCTTCACTCGCTTATCTTCACATTCCTTTAATGTTGCTTCCATTCTAGTAACTTTATCATTAGCTTCTGCGGCAATCTTTTTACAAGCATCTCGTTGTCTCTCAGTATCTTTACATTGTTTTAAAAGAGATTGTACTTGTTTCTCAAGATTATCCTTCTCCTTTTCAAGAGCTTGCGCTTCCAACTGATTTTGGAATCTCTTGGAAGAAGATTTGATACCTTGTTCAGCTTGCATACTTTCCAGACTTCTCTTCATATCGCTGACTTCATTTTCCAACACCATCCTCTTTGTTTCTGAATCTATATAGCTCAATTTAAATTTCTCCTCTTTTGTAGCATTTTTCAAAATTTCAGAGTGGATATTTTCTAGAAAGGAAATTTTCTGATTTTTTTGTCTTAGCAAATCCTTAGTATCATTAAGCTCCTTTTCTCTTTCTGCGGCTCTCTTGAGTAGTTTTTCAATGGCAGAATCCTTTGATTCAACATCATCACATTTTGATTTATAATCTTTGCTTAACTTTTCTACTTGTTTCTTCAAATCCTCATTTTCCTTTTCTACTTCCGTAAGCTTCCTTTTAAGATCCGCCTCTTTTTCTATCTGTTCCTTCAATAATGCTGATGTATCCTCAATCTTATTTAAATTATCGATCAAATCATCAACTTCATTACCAAATTTTACCACAGTTTTTTTCACTGTATCCTTGATAGAGTTCTCCAAGTTTGATAATTGCTTAGTAACCAGTGCCTCTGCTTTGTTAATATTATCACCATGAGGACTTGACATCCTCCTCCTGAGTATACCAGCCTTATTTAAAACAGCACCGAAAGGATTTGTAGAAGTAGTCGGTGTTTGCTGATTTGGTGGTGTTTTATCATCATTCGGCTGCATTGAACTCATCTTTCATCACTATTAAATAATGTATATATTAAAAGAGAAAGAACAATTGCTTAACGACTTTTTTTACAGATGATTACTGTAGTATTAGGGGATATGATCTTAAAAATAAAGGTAGATGCTAATCGTCAAGGAGGCTCACTGATCATGATCATCATCCTTACCTCTCTCAATGGAATAACATTTAAGCAGCTCGATATAGTTGCCGCTCTGCCAAACCCAATTTCGATCACAACTATTTCATTTCGCTACGCGTTGCTAAATGGAAGGTGCTGAGGTGCCCTCTCTTTGCTCGAGTAACTAACTTACCTCACCTCAATATTTTGCATAGCTTATTTCTCCACTTTTTAAAGACATGTTGAAACTAATATACCCTTCTTGTATAAGGATCATAGGATTGGATTATCATTTTGGTGTTTACCATTGTTGTACAGATATGCATATTCTAAATTAATTGACCATGACAATCACACTCAAGAGGAAATGTTGAAAATTACCAGAGCAATATTATTAATTAATGCCGATTGCTTTACAGCATGGAGTAGGAGAAAGGAATACCTGACGAACAACAAGGACAATCGTGATATTGTTTTGAAGGAATTAAAATTTTTGAATTTAGTAGCAACAAAGCATCCAAAGAGTTGTGATTCATGGGAGCATAGAAGTTGGATCATTAGAAATTTGATATTTAATAACGGAAAGTTCTTTTCCGATAGGGACGAATTTTTAGGTTGGTTTCATTCCTGTTTAGCTTCTGACTGACACAATTAATGTAGAATTTTTTAATAATGAAATTTCAAATTGTGAAAAGACTGTAACAATCTACCCAAGAAACTATTATTCTTGGTCTTATAGACAACAACTTGTAAATATGTTAATGAGCTGTGATTTTTTACCTTCAAAGGAAGAGGTTAATAGTATTCGAGTGAATCTTCTCAAATCCAAATTGGAAGATTTATTTAATTGGTTGAAGAGAAATGTGAGTGATCATTCATGTGTCAACCACATTATTATTTTAATGAAATCTTACAAAAGAGCTCTATTGGATTTAGGAAATGAAAAGGAGATACCATACTTTTTAATATATTCCTTGAAATTATTCTATTATAGCCAGTATTTAATTATTTTCTTCCCTGGTCACGAATCACTTTGGGTATTGAGAAGATATCTGTGGATTTACCTTATTGACAACTCTGATTTATTTGAAAAATATTTTACTGATGAAACACTTGGTGAAATAATGGATCAATTAATTGAAATTGCTATGGATCAATTCAAACATTCCTCAATAGACAGTAAGTAGTCCATCTCCATTGAAAATTATCACCATTAACAATTTAATTACAGTTTATCCTTATGAACCCATCCAACTGAGTAGTGAACTACTTTTAATTCAGAGATGTATCAATGATCAAGATGTAATGGTTGGTTCCTCATCACAAATAAGACATGCCCTTATCAACACTCATCATGTTGTCAAGTATATGCAAAAATTCTCAGAAAAACACTCTCATGAAGGACTAATAGTTCGTAACTTTATATCTGGAGATTTACAATTGGAAGAAACAAACAATAATGAACAATCCAACAAGGTTTCTGAATCGATTCAAAGATGCCTCTCCAACATTACAACAATAATTAGAGAATCATTCGGTCATGCTGGAATTCAATAAAAAAGAAAAATACACAACAACCTTTAGAGGATGGTTTTTATTCACGACTCGTGTTTTGTATGTCATGATGTAACTATTCGAGAGGGAATATCAAAAACTACTTCAAACAATAATACAACCAACAGTAACAACAGCAACTCTTCAACTCCAATACAACAAGGTTTATCAGTTCCGAACAAGATGAGTGCCATATCTTTGGTTAATTTAAACAAACGTGATGCTATTAGTAGTGCAATGGTAAAACCTCCTCTTTCTGCCTTAGTAACAACAGCATCTTCCTTTCTGATTAATAACAAGGTTCAAGAAAATATTCTTCTATCACAACATATGATTTATATTGATGAAGGAACAATTATACATCCAAGATGTGTTTTGGAATGTGGAAATAATTCAAAAGGAATTAAAATTGGAAAGAATAATATTATTGAGGAAGGAGTTGTAATAATCAATCAAGGAACAGATACACTCACCATTGGAAATAACAATCATATCAAAGCTGGAGTGTATATTAGTGGAAATGTAAAAATTGGTGACTATAACGTACTGGAATGCAAGTGCAAAATTGATAATAATGTGAAAATTGAGGAATATTGTATCATTAATGCTTTGTGTGAATTGGGTGGAGATAATGGAGCTATGTGTCAGTTACCCTCCTACACAATCATTCTTGGTTTGAATGGAGCTAGAAAATCAATGTTAAAACAAAAAGAGAAGATTAGATCTTTACATGAACATCAAATTCAACAACAATTACTCACACTAAGAAGTATTTTACCAAACTATCACAAAGCATGGAAAATTTAAATAGAAATATATTTGTATTTAATTTACTTAGATTCCAAAAGTTCTGCAGTAAGCATTGATTGTACCAAGACATCCTTTTGCTTCTTTAGCCCATTCAGGTTCCTTAAGTCCAACAAAGGAAAATCTAACTTGAGGTCCTTGTTCATTATTATTTTGAACACCTGCTCTTACCATATAAGTGGCAATTTTAGATTGAGCAATGGACTTATATTCATCCTTAGTACGATCATCTAGTGCATAAAAATCACCTGCAGGCACACCTAAAAGTAATGTCATACCTTTGTCAAAAGCAGTTAAAGTCTTTGTACAAGTATGATCTCCTAACACAACAGAAGTCATATACTTGTGAGCTGCTGTTGTTTCGTCATATTTAGTATTACAAAGAGGACAGGTATATGAGTTATCCATTTCATCTCTCTTCAGTTTCTTTGATTTGCATTCTTCATTTACACAAGCACAATAGGTTAAATTTCCATCTTTAAATAAAGAGAAATGTGATCTGATGAAAAATGTTTTTGATTTAAACTTCTCTTGTTCTAAATCTTGTACTCTGACAGTATCTAAATCTTCAAGAGAATATTTCTTAAATGATCCACTTGATTCAATAGCACTTAATAAAACACCCTTAATTTCTTCAATTGGAGTTTCTAAATTTGCAAATTGTTCCATAACTCTTCTACTTTCAGGTAAATCAAAATTAGTTAAAATTTTTGTTGATTTTGATGTACTCAATTTAACTCCACCTTTGAATTCTTTGATTGTGAGTGCAGTAAATATAACAGTATCACCAATATTAAAAGAAATATTATCCTCTCCCCATAATGTAATTGCAGCTTCATAAATATTACCATCATTATCTTTGTTAATTAATATTAATTCTCTCTTTGTTGTTTGTTTTTCAATAGCATTTGGATCTTGTTTTGATTTAATTGTCATTTGTTCTGAATTACCAATTGATTTAACAACACCAACAATATCAACACCATTCTTCTTTTCAATAGTTTTCAATTGTTCGAAAGGTATGAATTCAAAATGACCTTGAGGAATATTCTTTGCTTGATCATCTTCAGCTTCTTCAATTACTGAATTATCATAGAATGTAAGTTCATAACTATGTGGTAATCTTGAATACTTTTTATCAGCTGATTTAGCTTTACCACCTTTCATAAAGTAAACTTTAGATTCCTTAATATGATCATAAAATTTGTTAGTAAAAAATGTAGCTCTAATTTCAACTCCATCTTCATCAATTAGTTCAAGTGAAAATAAATGACCTTCTTTTGTTGGATTAGACCATTTTTTAAGTTCTCCTTTCTTGGTAACTCTAACTTTAATTACCCAATCACTGACCCAAGGAGTAATACCTACTAATGGTAATATTTGTTTAGTTTTAAGAGGTCCTACATTTCCTACTGATTGTCTAGGTGCATTATTAGTTGGATTGCTTGGTCTATTAAATGTTTGTTGTTGATTTCTTTGTTGTACAGGATTACTATTAGTTGCTGTTTGTTGTGGTTGTGGCCTGTTGAAAGTATTTGGTTGTGGTTGATTATTTCTATTTACTTGTTGTGGTTGATTATTGACAGTATTATTAGAATGACTATTATTTACAGAGAATGATGGAGGTTTAACATTACTACTTGGAGTAGGATTGCTTGTCGGATTTGATCTTTGTGGTTGTACATTTGTAACAGGTTTTTGTTCATTTACATGTGTTGTTGAAGTGGTAGATTGTTGATGATGATGATTGTTATTACTTTCAAGTGTAAAAGTATGTAAAATAACAACTTTAGCTTTTCCAGGCTGAGCTTTAAAAGTAAATTTTGAAATATTAAATATTGTTCCTGGTGCTATTGTTTCAGGATCACTAACATCAGAAGGAAATCTATCTTTTGGAATTACTGCGGTGAGAGTATTTTGTGATGATGGTGTTGGTAAAGATGTATCATACAAGTTTACTTTATATAAAACTTGACCTGGAGTTTTTGCAGAGGGCTGTTTACTGATTAATTGTGGGCTTTTGAGAGTGGCCATCAAAACAGGCATACGAACTTGGGAAGCGTCATTTGCATTGTTGATGATTTCTACGAGATTTTCTGGCATTTTTTTTGATTAATATTTTTAGCGGTTTGTTTTGGTGAAGTTTTTTTGTTTTCGAAAACAAGAAAATTTCCATCAAATAATGGAATGATATTTTCTTTTAAAAAATGGAAGTCAATTGATACAGAATCTGAAGTTTTAACATTGAAAGTGCCTTAGATTCATTTTCATTCTAGAATTTGGCTTCAAATATTTCAACTTTTGAAATATACTCCAATATGGGGAGCTTACTTGTTTCGAATAATGAATTTTCCATCAGAATTCTGAAAAGATTAGTACGAATGATATCAAACAGCGATTCTCTTTGAGTTCTTTCTCCTCAGTTCCAACTAATCAATGTCTAACAATAATCGAACACTGCTTCAATCCTTAATTCCACCTAATTTAAAAATTTCGTCACCAAACCAATTATCGATATCAACACCCTCAAATTAATTTCCACATACAACCGATCCAAACTCAACTCAAAATCCGATTATTATTATCACTTTGAATGAGAAGAAGAACTGCCCGAGTATTACCATCACCCTCATCTAATTTTTCTTCCGTTTTCCCGCCAAACTTTCACTGAAAGAGATGAAGACTGATAAAAAGCCAAGCAGTAAAATTTTGTTTTATGAACAACCCAAATTCGTCCAAGCTATCAACGTCTCATCCCAACCCAAAAAGAATTAGAAAAAAATCGCATCAACATTTCATATTACTTTCAGCAACCGTGTTGTTTCTCGTTGACCCATCATCATTCTGTCGTCTTTGTCATCGATTTGTACATCATCATTCACGAGAACAACATTAGCCTTCATCATCAATTTTCAAAAAGTGGAGAGAATTCAGTTTGTTTATCATCTATTTGAATTTTGTATAGAGAGAAGATATAGAAACAAATAGAAAGGAATTATATTCAAATTGACAAGAGGCTTTTTGTTCTTGAAAATTAACTAGTAATAATAGTAGAGTTGTTTATAGTAGACGAAAGTTGGAGTTTAGCCTTTTTACTTTTTCTACAACAATAACAAGCTCAGAGTTGATAATTGACTTTGGAAATAAGACTTGTTATTATTAAATATGTTACAACCCTATCGCAAAAGAGTTGAGTCCAAGAATGGATCATCAACAAGTGAAGATCCAAGGGAAGTTGTTGACAAAATGGTAGAGAATGCAAACTCTCACAAAATACTCAATGCTTCAATACAAAAGGATAATCAAAGTTCTAAGAGGTTCACAGAAAGAGATCTTTCAAAAGTATGTTTATAATAATTATATATATTGGATTGATTGTTTTAACAATGATAGATATGTCTATTGGTAAATTTACAACATTTAGATTTGACTGGACATTGTATACAAGCTCTTCCTTCAAATATAACAAATTTAGCAAATTTACGAACACTGGTGATGAATAAGAGTGAGCTTGTTGCTCCCCCTAAAAACTTTGAACTTTTGGAACCTTCACTGACCGATGTCCAGTTCAGATTAAATAATTTCAAAGATTGGCCAATTCAACTCAACAAAATTAACCTTCAAAGATTAGATCTAAGTTTTAATCGTTTGAATAAGATATCTGTTTCGTCTCCAAATTTATCGAGCTTTATATTTGGTGAACGTTCAGTACCATTACAAACATCTTTAAGAGAATTGAATCTAAGTTATAACTACTTTACAAATTTTCCAACAGATTTGTTAAAATTTTCTGCTCTTGAAAAATTAGACTTGACAAAGAACGATTTGGTAACCTTGCCTGACCTGGGTAAAATGGCAGATACTTTGAAGGAATTAATGTTAGAAGGTTGTGGATTTACAACATTTCCAATAACTATTTGTAACTTACTCAATCTCAAGGTTTTAAATGTAAGCAATAACGAATTCGAATGGTTTCCACAAACTCAAGGTTTGATGAGTCAATTGAGCCAGTTATCAGAACTATATGCCAATTCTTGTAAATTACATGGGTGGTCTCAATTATTTTGCCAAGCAAAATTGGTAATTTTACAACTTTCAAATAATAAGATAAGAGGTGTTCCGACAGAAGTTAGAACTCTTTCACTACTAGAAGAGTTGGTGCTTTCCAAAAATTTTATCACACATATTCCTGAACACTTTAGTGAATTTGTAAATTTGGTTTATTTAGATTTATCAGAGAACAATATTGAAGATATTGATCCCGCTTTTGGAAACCTCAAAAAACTGGAGATATTCAAGCTTAAATCTAATAGACTATTCGAGATTCCTGACGAGTTATGTGAGCTTGAGAGTTTGAAAGAGATTGATTTGAGCGAAAATGACTTGAAGAAGATGTTTGATTGTTCGAAAATGACCAACTTGGAAAGATTAGACGTGACATACAATTATTTGGAAGAGTTCCCTAAAATTGGTGGCTGTAAAAATCTTACTTCTCTCGATTTAACTATGAACAGATTAAGAGGAGCTATACCTGACTACTTTTATGATCTGGTAAATCTTAGAAATTGTAAATTGAAACACAACTCGCTGGAAAGTTTGGACGCAAAAATTTGCAATCTTGTCGAATTGGAAACATTGAACTTAGATAATAATGAAATATTATCTATACCCGAAGAGGTTATGCTTTTGAAAAAGCTGAAAAACTTTTCAATCATTAATAACTATGAATTGAAACCTCAAGAAAATATCAAAAAACATATGGAAGATAATGATATAGTATTCCAATACACATACGAAGAACCAAGCAAGATTAGAGATTATTTGTTTTTGAGTAGTGCACCACCAGCTGGATCTAGGAGACTTCTCAAATCACTAAACGTCTCACATGTTATTACTATTGCCAAAGATATCCCACCAAGACATAAGAATGATTTCAAGTATATGGTAATATTTGCTGAAGATACTAATGAAGCATCCCTTAGATCTCACTTTGAGGAAACACGCGAGTTTATCAATGAAGCTAAAAAGCAAGGCACTGCATGTATGGTACATTGCATGGCAGGTGTCAGTAGATCAAGTACAATAGTCATTTCATATTTAATGAAAGAAGAAAATAAGAAGCTGCAAGAAGCATACAAGGAAGTTTATGCTATCAGAAATATAATCAAACCAAATACCAAATTTTACAATGAATTGAAGGTATTCAACAATGAATTGTTTGGAACAGATCAAGCAGCTACTCCAACACCAACAAGAACAACTAACAAACCACCAACAAAGAACAGAGTGGAAGTTTTCGACTCTCAAACAGATGAGAGACTATTTAAACGAAAGGACGAAAAACCTAGCGTGTTGAACCCCCCAAATTATAACTATTCCAGTAATTCGTCGGGAGCCAGCTCTTTATTTGCTTCTCTATTGGGTGGATTTGCCTCCACTTCCGAAAGCAACAATGATACTCCAAGAACATCAGGTGGAGCTCCATCAACATCTTCGAACAATGAATAAATGATTTTGAAATTTTGAATAATTTATTTTAGATATTAACTACTTGAACGTGAACTCTCTTGTCCAATGTTAATGAAGTATCATTCACAATATCAATAATTGCATAACTTCCTTCCTTTCGGTTTTGATTATTACACAATCTTGTTGGATTAATAACAATTGTGTTACTAATCACTTTACAACATGTTTCTAAATGATCAGAAGGAAGGATGATAATATTAGGTGATTCCTCAATCTTAAGAGATGACTTGGTACCATTTAAAAGTGAATGGTCAAGTGGAATTTCTGAGGAAGGAAGCAATCTTGGATAGTAATATTGTTGTTCCAGTACTGCCTTTAAATAGTGTTCAGTTTGATCCTCAACATAACCAAAAGTATATTCTTTTTCCTTGATGGTTTTAATGGCATCTATTGAGGTAACACCAATCTTGATTGGATTGAAGGACGGAGATGAGATGGAAAATGTTGATGGATTAGGAAAGCTTTGAATCTTGGAAGAACCATTTTCAATTTCAATGGCAGGCTGTGGGAAAACAAAATCACTATTTACATCTTTAAGGGAAGGAATTAAAATAACACGACAATCAGTTTCGATAGTCTTCAGTTTGGCAATGAATCTATTTTCAAAGGTTGATTCAAAAGTTTCGTCCATAAATCCAGATTTCACAAGAGCATTATCCTCACTCAGAAATGGTCCAACAAGTACCAAAACATTTGGTTCGTTTGTTTCGACCAAAGTTATAAGATTTTTGAGAGGATCGTATAAGACATTATGTTGGAGAGTGAATGGACCACAAGCAACCATAATTTTGATCTTTTTCTTTTCATCACTTGGCTGTGGTTGATCTTCTGGAGCATCAAGTGGAGCTCCAGTGTAAATCTTTTCCACTTTCAATCCTTGTACTGAGTTTAATCCTTTGATAGCAACAATTTGGCCTGGGAAGAGAGTTTGTGAAACACCTGAATCAAGACCAAACTTATCAAAACTCAACTTGATAACTTTACAATCTGATGTCTCAGCATTTGTTAAACCTTCCAATAAAATAGAAGCAGGATTGAGCTTGTCATCACCAGTTACAGATTCTGCAAGAATTCTTCCAATATAAACTTCTGGTTGATCAGAATGCTTTCAAAGTAAATAATTTAGCAAATTGATTCACTTACATAATTTAAAGGTTTTGCTGATTCAATATTATGATATTCAAGAATTTTAGCACCGACATCTTCCAATCTTTCTAACAGCACTGATGCTTGTTTGTACAATTTGTCATACATATATTTAACTGGTCCACTTTTGGTTGGTTTTACAATTTTAACATCTGTTTCACTAGCTACATTATCAATATCGGAATCTCCAAAATCACAAAGTATCTTTCCTTGATTATCTCTATCTTTCCAATTAACAATAGTATGTGCAGATTGCAATTGTTGTTGCGATGTCATTAAAACTACTTTCTTTGAATGTTGTTCAATAATTTCATCATCTTCCATGATGTGATGATGTTGTGGTTCTTCATCATAAACTTCGGAGTGTGATACCTCAGCAATATCATCAATAGCAGCGACTGAAGAGGAAGCCTTTGATACTTCTATTTGGCTGGTTTTTTTCTTTGGTGTGGCTGATGGCTTTTTGGTTGTTGGTTTACCAAACAACGATGTCAAATAACTTTATTCTGTCATCGCATCATCAATTTTATCATCAAATAACTCACCTTCCAATATTTCCACTGTTACCTGGTTTGGACATTTTTTAAAATTTTTTAATTCAAATTTTTGGCGGGAACCGTTGCATAAATTAAGATGCTACTTTAAATTGAAGAAAGTGAATAGAAATATTTATTCAAAATGACAATTCAATCCATTGAATGAAAAGTATGAGCATAGAAGCTATTCTTTGTATAAAATTTAGTAATTTAAAGTTTAAAAATAGAAATCAAAAAAAATAGAACAACATTAAACAATGCAATCCTCATCAAATAACGAAAATTCATTTCCTAAAGAACAAAAAGTATCGGAAGGTGTTTATATTACAGATTTTAGGAAAAAACAAACCACACCACAATCAACACCAAGTCTAAAAGAAGAATATGAAAGTTTACTTGCTACAACACAATGTGATTTGAGTGAATTGAATAATAAGATTTATCATTTGGAACGATCTAATAGAGAAATGAAGGAAATTGATCCTGATGGAGAAGATTCTGATTTAGTGGAGGCAATAGCTGAGAATATGGAAGTGATTGAAAGATTTAAAAAACAAGTTGAATTAATCAAGGAAAGATTAGCACAATTAGAGAAAAAGGACTCATCGAAATTATCAGCTAAGGATTTGCCAACCGGTGTGGGTATTATTGATGATGATATAACTGATGAAATGTTGGAAAATTTAACTTTATAATTTATTACTTCTTGTACGAATATATTGATAGAATATCCTGTATCTTTCCTCAATTTGCTTTCTCTTCTTTTTTCGAATGGAATATACAATATCGAAACAACAATCAATTGACATGTTGAATCCTACTAGAACTACAAAAGATGTTAGAAAGATGACAGTAGGATGATAAAATCCAATCTTTAAATTGTTGAATGTCCACACTGAATCAATACAGATTTTACCATCAGCATAATCCATCATACCTGTCACACATTGAATACATTTATGTTGGATACATCTCAAACCTGGTCCACAAAATCCATCTTTTGTTAAGGTTTTACCTAGCTCTCTAGGACACGTTGTCATAAATAAGGGTTGTTTTGTAATGCTTTCACATTTTCCTTCGTCTGTACAGTATTCATCAATTTGACAAAACTCTTTAGTGTCGATTCCTGATGATCCTGGTATACATTCTCCGCACTGCTGTTGGCTTGTTGAATCATCGTCCACATAGAAAGAAACTTGATAATCCTCACATGTTGTTTGAGCAGCCCGAGTGCCTCTAAGGTTTGTAGAGTTAGATCTTGAAGAAGTTACCAGTCCTAAGGAGAAAATTACTAATACAATTAATATTATGATTATTCGTTGTTTCATTGTTTTTGATTTTGAAAAATAGAGATCAACTAAATAGGAAACTTCCATTTTAATAAGCTTAGGTTTAGTATTTATGTTGCCTATTCTGCACATAATTTTTAGATGGTTTTTTACGAACATTCATGTTTGGTTTGCTATAGTTTGGAACCTTAACAGCAACTGAAGCATTAACTTCTTCTTCCTTTTCTTCTTCTGAAGCAGATAATTCTTCTTCAGCTCCCAACCAACCAATCTTTTTCATAAAATCGACTGGTTTTTGAGTTGGAATTGATTCTGATGGTGTTGGAATAGTTGGTTGATGAATAACAATGTCTTCATCATCATTATCATCACCATCATAAGCTGGAGATGGATCAGAGACAGAATCTTGTTTGAGCTTCTTCTTTTGCTTGTTCTTCTTTCTATTCTTTTGAGAAAGTTTGTAAATTTCGTTGAGACTCAATGGAACACGCTCTTCTTCTGGAGTCACACGTGCAGATGGGTTCTTTGTGTTATTAATAGGAGTGTTAATAAAGCTAGAGGATGTATCCATAGCATCATCCAATGTTGGATCGTCTGTAAGGATATTACTACTGTCCATCATGGATGTATCTTCATCGTTTTGTTGCTTGTTGGATGTTTGTCCATTACCTAGAGAGAATGAAGACATGATTTGTGATACCTTATCTTTGTTAAAGCTACTGTTGCTAGGAGGGAAGAAAAGAGATGATTTCTTGCTTGGAGTGACATTTACATTGGAGTGTTTTCTGATATTTTCAATGGTTTCCAAAACTTCATCTTCCTCCTCAGAAAATGTAAGTTTGGACATTGAAGATGATGGATAATAATTCTTGGATTCAATCCATCCAGCAATGTTATATAAATCATCAGTATTCATAACAGGACTCATTCTTGAAGGAGTCTTGTAATGTGGATTAACAATTGGTGATTCAAGTTCAAAAGATGGTTTGGCATGTTGATTAATATAGCTTTCATCAGGGATCTTAGATGGTGTGGAGAATGTTGGCTCTGGCATATCACGACTTTGTAATGCCTTGGTTATCAAGTCAACAATAATTTTAGCATCTCTTCTGACAAGTTTAGGAACTGGGTTACAACAACTTAACAATTGACTAACCTCAGTTGGAGCTTCTTGGGCTATTGAGAGAATCATGTGATCAGGTAAAACGTAACGAATACTTTCGTCATCTTTTCTAGCTACAGTATCTCTCCACTTGAATAAAACTCGAATAACATTTTCACTAATGGATGCTGTACATCCTCTAGAGAATTTGATAAGGGAAAGATATGAAGTTTCTGAGAAGAGTTCCTTTTCATATCTTCTCATACACAATTCCTTAGATCTTACCAAAACTTCTTCCATTCTTTCAAATCCAGAAACAGTAGAAGTGTTGGGTTTGGTGTTGAAAATATCTTGTCTCAATCTATCATAAATGTATAATAGATAGTGAGTATCTTCTCTAGCATATTTTACCATTTCACTTGGGAGAGGTCTCACTCGCCAATCAGCCAATTGATACTTTTTATCAGCATCAATTCCGCAATAGTGCTTAAGCAAGTAGGCAAGAGAACAACCAGGTAAAGCAAGAGTTCTACAAGCCTGACCGGTATCAAACAAGTTAACACAATAAATTGCAAAATCTCTCTGCAGCCACAAAATATCACAATCGGAACCATGCATAACCTTAACAATCTTAGGATGTGTGAAGGAGGAATTAAGAATATGCATGTGTTGTCTCAATTCAAGAGTATCTATGAGGAAGTCTTCACTTCTTGTAGAAATTTGCATAAGGCAAACAAAACCTTGGAATGAACGATAACTGTGTTGTTCCAAATCTATTGCGAAAGCATCTTGGCCTTCCAAGATTGTAGCTAGCTTGTGAAGATCTTCCACAGTGCTAATCCATGTGCAAGGTGAGTTTTCTAGAGGAGCATAAGAAATAGCCTTCTCAGGAGGCGTCGTTTGTGATTTCATAAATTGAAGACTCAACAATTCAGGCAAGTATGGATGAGGAGAACTTTGGCGAGTTGTTTCACCACCAACACCATTACCTACTCCAAAACGGAATGGGAATGGAGGTAAAGTGCTATGTTCAAAGGTTACACCCATCTTTTTAGTACCACCACTCATTTCTTCATCATCATCATCTAAGGAACCAATCTTCATTGACTTTTCGAGTGAGGCAACAAATGCGTTAGGTTTTGATTTCAAATTTGGTACGAACGGCATGTTTCTGTTATCAACATCGTTCCATTTCAATTGGGGTCTGCTCATTGATTTAAGGGTTTGGTCAGAAGAACCTGAATTACTTTGTGAAGGATTCACTCCGACACTATCAGCGTTAGATTCCATATCCATTTCATCAAGAGCCATATCTACATTTTCAAAATATTGGTCAAGTAAATCAACTGTTGATTCAAACATTACTTCTGGGTCATCCATAACAGAATTGGACTTGTTCTTTTGACCAAGGAATGAAGATAATGCTAACTTCAAAGCATTTGCAGACTCATCCATAGCACCTCTAAATTGTGGAAAATGTGAAGTGAGAAAGTCAAATTCCTTGGAAGATGGGATTTCATTGGAAGCTTTTGTTCCACTCATCAAGACAGAGAATAATTCAGTCAAATATGGATCCAATGGTTTATCACCAATAAGAACTGATGCTTTACCTTCTTGTTTGTTAACATTGCTGCTACTAGCAGTAGTTGTGGAATTTTGTTGAGTGGCAGTTGTGGTATTATTGTTAACAATAGGAGTAGTGGTAGCAGTCGCATTAGCTTGTTGTTGTTGCTGAATTATTGAAGATGATGTTGTTGTTTGCTGTTGTGTTGTTGTATTGGATGGTTTTTGTTTGTTATTGTTGCGGTTATTGTTATTATTGTTCTTCTTTTGCCCACCACCATAGGGTTGGGAATTGGTTTTCTTTTTCATACTTGTTGTTGTTCTTCTTCAGAGTGAGGAGAACAAATTGTTCAATAAAAATCTAGAGGGTAGCTTTCCGTTTCTCTTTAAAAAGCAGCAAAATTTTCAATTTAACCGCCTAACTAAATTTTTGCGCAATTTTTTTAAAAATTTAAATATTGAAGCGGTTGACCGTTACAAGTGCTTTGGCGGTTAAAAGATAGCACTTCAAATAAAGAGAAGAACTAAAAACTGTGTGGAATTAAATGATTTTCTTTGAAATAAATCCAACCTATTCTATTGTTATTTCACACTTTATTAGCCAATACCACGAGACATTATTCTCCCATGAGATGTGTGTATGATATTTTCACACTAAAATTCGAGTATTTTGTAAGGGATTTGGTTGATATTAATTTCCAATCGCTAGAAGTAAATATTCAAGTAAATTGATTTACATTAAGGAGCACTTCTTCTTGTCTGACTGAATCATGTATTTCAAGAATTGGTTGGTGTCAATAAATCTAAATCTTTTCACAGACTCCACAGTTGTTCTCAGCACTTGTTCTCTATTAAAAAGATTGCATTCCATAATCAGATAATTTCTAAAATCATAATTTTGCTTTAAAAACTTTCTCAATTCCTCCTCCACAATTTTCTTGAATGAATCTTCCACAATATCCTTGTAATGAATTGCAATTGTAATAATATATCTATTAAAAAAAACTGATTTGGCTAATTGATTGTAGTAAGGAGTAAATCCTGCAAATTCTGAGGTAAAGTTATTGGGATTGAAATCGTTCCTAATAACCAGAGAAAAAATCATTCCATCACTCATATTTATATGATTGTCGAGTAGTATTGGGTATTCCTCATACAATGAAATAGGATACATTGAAATCATTCTCTTTGAAGAATTATCCATTTCCAAATTATATCTATAAGAATCTATTGTGCATGGATCATATTCCTCTAAAAAGAAAGAGCTAATCAACTGGGTTATAAATCCCTGAGCATAATAATATCCATAAGAAGATGCACAAATAAAACAAGGTCTTGGATCATGATATGAATTATTCATGTTCTTTGGATCTATTCCAGTGCAGTTCAATAACTGTTCAGAAACCTTATCCAAATTATTTTCAAAATACCTCAATTGATAATATGCCATCATTAGTTTTCCTTTCATTTTCTCCATCTCCAATACCTCTCGATTTAAATCATGATATTTCTTTAATAGTAAATTCTTCCAAAACTCATCGCAATGTTGAGAGTAAATTTGATAAATAAATCTACATGTTTGTGCCAGTGATTTTAACTCTCGGGGTGCATCACCAAGGAAGGATATGATTAATTGTGTAAAAAAGGCTTCTCCACATGTTTCATACCAACGAAATGACGATGGTGATTGGTTAGCCCTCTTTTGCTTCATTTTTTTTGACAATTTAAGCGAACTTATGAGTTCAAGTTCAATGTTTCATTTTCTTAGTTACAAAAACGTGTCACACGGAAGAATTAAAGTTGGCGTGAAACTGTGCACCTGTAATTTACTAGAGATTTTAAGGATGAATGGCCCAATCGTGCTCCTTGTCCCATTCCTTGACTCTCACTCTCTTTTCTGGTGTCAAATTGGCTCCTTTCAATAGAACTGTGTTAACTAAATTGGATTCCTGACTAAAGTCTCGTGGACCATAGTTGCATGTGATTGTATTTTGTGGTAAAAGACCCATTTTAGTATAACATTCTGCCACAAACTCTGAACAGAAAACATTTGAATCATTTGATTGAGTATTTCTCTTAATGACACATTTCAACAATTCAGATTTTGATGTTTCATATTTTTTGGTTGTGCATCTCTTTAAATATTCAACAAGGGATGGGAAATGTTCTGTAATATTCTCTTCCTTAGGTCTTTCTCCCATTGATGGAATATTTAATCTTCTCAGACAACACAAATCAGTTGGATCTCTTGTCAAGTAATCCAAAAACCATCTTCTCAACTCAACCAATTGAATTCCACCTCCTTCCTTATTATCAACTGTATCAGTTTCTGATTCAGCAACAAAAACAGTTGAATAATGAGATGAATGATCAACTTTAACATTGTATGCATCCAATACTTCTTTCGGTGGATTTCTAATAATCACAGATAAGTGAGACCAAGTCGAAGAAAATCCCAATTGAATAGCTTTAGAGAAATTTCCCTTTCCAGAGTGAAGTAACACATCTCCAGTTCTCAAACTATCATAAACATCCTCCAAATATTCAACACCAAACAACTTATCCAAACGATGTGATTCCTTTTCTGAAATATTTCCACTCAAAATAGATGCCAAACTTCTGCCTCGTGTGGAAAATCCTCCTCCCTTCTCATTCTTATATTCCTTCAAAAAGTTTGTCAGATCAATTTGTGGTATTTCCTCTGAATTACTTGAGACAAATCCATCATTGATAGAAAAATCCAAAGGTTCAATTCGTACATTCAATGATCCTTTTGGAACTCCTTGTAAATTCAACCACATTTCAAATGGTTCTCCTTCTTTGAGCTTTAGGATGGAAAGTGAAACTGCTGCAAATCCTAAAGAATCATCTGATGTGAAAGTGTCCTTATCATATAATTGACAAATTAGAACATATTGCTCGGGATTATGCTCGAGAGGAATCTCAAAAGTTTCGTCCCACACTGGATTCAGATTATCATCAATGACACGAGTTTTGAATTGTTCCTTCTTTTTACCTCCCAACCAAGCAACACAATATGGATCCGAAACATCACCTACATTTCGAATAAGAATAATCTATTAAAATGATGAATTTCGAATAAAAACTTACCATTCTTTCCTGAATCCGTGTTAATCAATCCTTTGGCAGCAATAATGGTCAACTTCATGTGAAAGGTTTTGCTTTGGAAAGAGCTATTGACACCAAAGTGTCTTGGGGCAATAGCATCACCTGCTGAATTACTAAGAAACATTTTTTCTTTTTTGTTTTGGAGTGAAACTGAAGTTACTGAAACAGTTTAAAAGGTAATTCGTTTTGACGTGTTGACATTTGAAAGTTGCGCCTTCATGTTGGGAGCATGTGCGAAGTGAAATTATTAGCTCCACTACAGAAAACCATTTGATAGGAAATCGATTATATTTTACAAGAAACACATTCACATCACATATTGTTCAACTTTCCAAATATCCCATTAAGGAGAGCATAATTCACATGTTATAAATATCATCAACTAGCATGTTAAATATGCATTCTGTAAACCATTTCTATCCGGCCATAATTACAAACACAAACATGCCATAGTGTAACAACGTTTCAAATTGTCCAAATTTATTCTTGTTGTATTAGAGATTCTCCTTTCTTTTTCCTTTTCCAAAACAAGGAACTATTGTGTAGAAATTGTATCAATTAACACAACTCATGTTATGATAATTTATTGAGACAAACAAGTATTAATTGATGGACAAGAAGCAGGGACAGTGAAAACATTTGAATCAACCTTTTCAACCATATCATAATACATTTGCTCTAGAGAAGCAGTTGAAGAAACAGCCAAGGTATTCAAAATCCAACACTTATCATTGGCCATTTGTGGTTCTCTGAATGTCCAGAAAGTACCAATTGCACCATTTTGAGTATTGACAATCTTCAAAGCATCATAGGAACCAATCTTTGCTTTGGTAACGGTTCCAGTATTTGGAATACAGTATGCCTCCCATTGATTGAAATCTGTAACCTTATGACAATGACATTTGCCACTTTGTAAATCATAGGAAACAGTAATAGAAGAACTAATCTTAAAGTCCCAATTAGTATAGGTATTGACAGCTCCATCAACTGTGTAAGTGATATCTTGTCTAATTTTACCAGCATTGTAATCAACAACAAAGTTGAAACCACCATCGACTGGTTGTAAGGTACTGTTATTGGCAACGATGGAAACTTGATTGAAAACACCCTTCATGGAGAAGACATTTGGCAAACAACAGATGTTTGAAGAGGTTGGAGATCTCTTGTTGGCACTTTCGAATTGTTTAACGAAAGAAAAAATAGGAGAAGCATAGGCAGAGGAAGCAATGATTGCAACGATCAAGACTGAAAGAATTGCTTGTTTAAACATTTTTTTTTGAATGAGAAAATTATTACAAATACAAACATCTGAAATATTTAAATGAAACTAAATGGAAATATCCTCGAACCTTTTACAATAAACCAACTCCACATTGGAAATATCTAGGATATGAGGAAGTCATGTGTCATTAGTCAAGCTAAGTGGATATTATGGGAATTGAAGTTGTTCTGGACAACAAGTTTAAACTCCGGAAGCTAAGTTGATATTGGATGTCTTCTAATTCTGTTTGACCACGGAAGTGAAAATTGAAGGATAATAGTGCAGTTGAATACATTTATTCTTAACAGCTTGCCTGCAAAATCATGTATTACAATTACTTGGATGTATTTACTTAAACAATGTTGAAACATGTTCTGAACTGAGTTTATTTCTTTGTAATTTGAGCAGGAATAGGCACTGAATAATCTCCAAATGCCTTAGTATATTCATCAGAATCAATCAAAGCAACAATAACAGCCAAAGGTCCAAACTTTTCCACATTTTTAACTTGTTCAGCCAATACACTATCTGATTCAACTTCTCTGCCCAAGATAATTCTATAACCATTCTTGACAGTTTCAGTTGGAGTATTCATATTCTTTTGCTTGTATTCTTCGGAATGGGCGATCGCTTTGATGGTCTTTCTAACATCATTCACTCTCAAGACACTAGCCCAATGAGCCAATCCAGTTGGTTCTGGAGCTCTATTGAGTAAATTACGATACAAGGCAATAACAACTCTTTCCTCCCAATTCTTCTTTAAGAAATCCACTTCAAAATTGATTGTCTTTTCAAGTTGTTTTAATTCGGAAATTTGTTGTTCCTTCTCTTGATTATAAGATATCATTATTGGACTTTCCTTATTTCCATAATTCTTAGATCCCGAGAGAAGAACCTCTTGATATTGAATGCCATCTTGAACTTTCTTGAGTTGTTCCTGTTTTTCAACAAGAGTCTTTCTCACTCTATCAACAGTGCTATCGGCAACACCAAAAGCTGAGACCAATTGCAAGCTAACAATGAGAAGAAGAACAATGGACACGAGGATTGAGCCCTTCATTATTTTGTTCAAGTTTTTTTTGATACGGCAGGATTTACAGAGAGAACTACGTTTCACCTTATTAATCATGGTAACTGTAATGAGAGGATTGTGGCGGTTTGTATATGGTGGGTTTGAATCACACCAGAGAAAATGTTGCTCAAAACAAACATCTCAACAAAAACACAATTAAAACATATTTGAGTGATGAATTTTTGAATTCTACCCCAATCAATACATTGGATTAACCAATTATGACGCTTACTGTCTGTATTAGCTCCATAATGTCAATATCCACCAAAATTTACATATTTGGCTTGTTAAATAGCGTGACACCTGAGTTGTTTATCTTTAGCACAACAATAAAAAAATGGCTGAAAACAACAATACTTCACAACCTTTGGGATCCCTTGCCTTCTCCACAGCCATCAATACTGCTGTAACAACTCCACTGTGGTTATTCTTTGATCATCCAAAAAAGAAAATTAATGGAACATCTCTGAGAGGAGTTTATCAAATTCATCAAGTTTCGGATATTAAAAATGTTATTGAAGAAAGTGGATTGCAAACACAAGAAAATGTCATTGAATATGAATGGTTACTTTCACCAATTGGTGAAAATCCACTAAAATCAAAAAAGAAAAAGATGTTTTATCAAATTTCCAATTCGACTTTGGAATTCTTTAGAGAAAATCAGGTAAAGGAAATGAAACTTTTAGTTTGTTCAAGAGATATTTCACCACCAAAGAATGCAAAAACTATTCCAGACGAAACACCAACTATTCAACCAATGATCGAATCACCTCCAATCAAGGAAGAAACCAAAGAAAGAAAAAAGAAGAAACAAAGATTTATTGAAACGACACAAGAGGAAGAACTTGAAGCTGATTTGGATGGTGGGAAATGTGATTTTTTGTGTAATTGTGAAGAATTGGGAAGAAAATGTGCTCTCCCACACAAGTATTCAGTAGTGTTTTTTGCAGTTGGACTTGTGGTTGGATTTATCATTGCTGCTTTATTGGCCACGTTGGCTGTTGCTTTAGTAAGATGAAGAATTTTATGTAATTTAAAAGTTTGCTAAACTCTTTTCCATATTCAGTCAATCTACAACATACCTTAATTATTCAATTACTTATTTGTTTAAAATACATATTTGGTAAAGAATGGTTCAGTTTGTATGAAATATTGAATTTATTGTTAGTTCAATTGTGGAGCAAATGTTTCAAAATTTCCAAATCTATGCCATGGAATAACAAGATCTGGATAGGATTGTGCAAATCTTTCTTTCAAAGCATCCAAATAATTAGTTCCATGAAAGCAATACCCTAATTTTTCCAAATATTCTCTATTATTCTTATCAAAAATAAAACGAGAATGCCCGTACAAAAATAGGAATTGTTGTTCGAAATTTCTCATAATGAATGGGTCCAACAATATTGGAGATTTGCCGGAGACATGCTTTGCACAACAAGGATATTTTCTTATTAATTCTCTGGCAATGTCAGTAGAGGATGAATTTTTCAAAATTAATTCGGCCATATCTTCATTCCATTCCACACCTTGATGTTGGATCATTTGTTTTATAAGGGCATGATCATTCAATACTATAGTGAGATGATCAAGACTGAGATGGTTCGCAATCAAAATATTCTTGTTCATTGCCTTTACAATAACCTGTTCATCCAATGTAATCTCTTTGGTGCTCATGAAAAAAGCTTTGTGTGAAATATCAAGAAACTTCAAAAGTTGTTCTTTCGAGGAAATCAAGTTTGAGTGGAGCAATTCAGATTCATTAACTTTGGAAGTGAGAATCGATTCAATTAAATTGGAATAGAATGGGTAGCTTTTTTCAACCCAATAGATGGCTCTCCAGTCATTTGAAACAGATTTGAAGATGGAACAGCGACTCTTTCTAATATTTTCACCAGCTCTTTGAATAGCCGTTCCACTTGTGAATATGGAAGTCTCAAACAAATCCTGTCTATTTCTAAATTCTCTATTTAGGTAGTAAAAAGAATCTCCGTTCAATTCTACTGCTTTCTTTACAAATTCTTCATCTTGTCTCAGATTGAATGGAAGAAACTTGAAAGCAGCTCCATTATTTCTTATGGCTTCAAGAACAATATCTCGATTTTGAAGAATATCTGGATGTGCGTAGTAGAGAAATAATCCATTTTCCTTGACACGAGCTTTCATATATTCCGGATCATTTCGTAATTCAAGTGAAATTACTTCCAAAGTGTCAATTTCACCTGGCACCTGGTCACACTTATTATTATTCTTCTTTTTTCGCCTTTTTGTTGATAGACGAGGAATAGAAGCTCGCATGTGAGGAGCTGAAGGGTCTATCAAGACTGTTGCACCACCCTGCCACCAATTTGCTCTGTTACATACGGCATCAGAAAGTGTTTCTCCCTTTCCAAATATAAATATTCCCTCTCTTGGAATAGGAGATCTAAAAGCCCAAACATCAGATTTTGTAGGTCTTGTGCAATATTCCAATGGAATAATTAAGGAATTGGTAAAGGAAAATAATTGCTCCTCCTTGTACCATTCCAGGAACAATTTGGTTTGGTGGGCAAAGGTACTCTTTAGGGTACCACTTAAGATTGATAAATCAAGATGGACAACCACTGGATCCTGTTCTTCTTCTATTGTTGTCCTTGCTTCTTGTGATGGATTCATGGTTTCTTTTGTTGTTTTGATCTTATTTTTTTTTATTAATAAAAAGTTGGATATATTTGCAAAACATGTTTTAAATGAATTGATAACAAATAAAATTGTTTGCAACACAAATTCTTGCTCGGCAATATTTTACATGATACGGAGGAACACCTAACATTTTTGCATTACGTACAAGAAATAAAGTCTTGAAAATATTTGATAAGGTAGAAAAGTTCTATTGCGTAACCGGTCCAATGATTTTTACATTGAATCGTTTTTGGAATTTACTTATTCTTCATTTCATTACGGCACCCTATAATAATTAGTCCAAGTGAAGACATGGTACAAGACGGTCAAATTCTACCCGGATAGAATTCAAATCAAGAATAGGATCCTGAAAAAGTTTATGATGAATCATTGGGACAATATTAAAACTAAATTATAATCACTACGTTTGTAATTAGTATGTCTTTTAAATAACCATGGCAATGAATAGAGTACATTTCTTATTACAAGAGGTGCTTTAGCTATTTTTGAATCTCTCTCTGAGAGGAGTTATATTTTGATAATATGGTTATAAGAAAGTTGACTTAGGTTACTTTGGATTCATTTTACAAGTCAGCATTGTTTGAAAAGAAAAGAAAGATTACTTTAAATGATACCATTCAATCTGGATTGAATAGAAAATGGAGAATGTTTTTTAATAGAAAAGAATAATATTCATAAAATTCAAATTGGAGAGAAAATTATAGATATTTCAACTACTGAAAATCATTTTATTTGTTGTTCGAGATGGAAAGTGTATCATATTAAATCAGCTGGTTCTTGTAATGAAATTAAAGGATTAAATTTAATGGAACTTGAATATATTAAGAAAATTGAAACTGGTCGAAAATTTCTTTTACTTTTAACAACTATGGGAAGAATATTCGCATTTGGATTGAACAAGTTAGTATTTTCTTCTTTTAATATTCATAAATTTATTATATAATAATAATAATATTTATAATAATTAAAATATAAATAATGATAATAATAATTATTAATATAAAGGATAAAAGACAAAAACAATTTGGATGTAATTTAGAAGAACAATTAAAAACACTAACTGAAATTAAATTTTCTGGAGGAGAAATAATTGATATATGTGCTGATTATGATCATACAGTTTTATTATCAAAAGATAAAACATTATGGATGTGTGGATTAAGTGCAGATAATCCAAAATATAAATATAATTATGAATTATTTACATGTATAGATAATAATGTATCTTGGGTATTTTTTAGAGGAAATACACTTGTCTATAAAAGAATGAATGCATTTGTTTCAATTGGACAAGAAATGCCATCTCCAAATTTCGTTTACTTTCCAACAGCTCTATTTTTTAAATTTGATATTGAAAATTTCTATGGATACAAAAATCAATTCATGTTTCAAGATAGAAAAACATTGGAATGTTATTATTTTTCTACTTTATATGGTTTAATTAAAATGGATGATTTAAATCGTTTTATTGATAGAAGACCTTATTTAATACCAAAATTTTATTGTTCAGATTTGGATACTGCAATTATTTATTTTGATACGAGTAGAATTAATTATTTATCTTGTAATTTAGTTAATAATTTAAGATTTTCAGATATTATATTGATATGTAATTGAACAAGAATAAATATAATTTTGAAATTTTAATTAATTATATAATTGAATGATCATGGTGAGAATATTATTGTTAATAGTTATATGGTATTGATATACTGTTATACAATGAAATTTAATGAATTCAATTGATTTTTGAATGATCAAACATGCACAACTTTTTAGAACCTAATCAAATGTGTATGATGCGTGAGTGAAAATGGTGAATTTAAAGATTTGTTAAATACTGTGATAATTAAATAGTTCCAGCAGATTTTCGATCTCTTGCTAAATTCCATCTAAAAATAAGTAAAAAAAAATTTAGGCACATCATCAAGAAAACTCACACAAGCCTTTAATGTTTGTTATTAAAGACTTTAATAGAATAAGAAAAGAGAATAAATAATGGGAAAGAAAAAATCAGTGATATCAACAACATCAGCAACAACAACGAATAATAAAACGACAGAAAAAAAGTCTAAAAAGTCATCAACATCGGAGGCTTCTTCATCAAAAGGTTCATCTTCTTCTTCAACAACAACAGCAGCAACAAATGATCAAAAGAAGGTTATTGTACCATTAACATGGGTACCACTCTCTGTTGGACAAGTTATCATACCATCACAAACAAAAGATGAACCAAACAATGGAGCTGATATAACTATTGAAGTTAAAAGTAGGCTAGTCAAAAATTTAGATAATTATCCAAGTGATTGTTTATTTCGTACTCATCAATACGATTTTACATTAACACCAACAAAAGAATTACTTGAATGGGCTAAAATTGATTATGGATTTTATAGTAAAATTAAATTATTTATGCTAATATCGAGTGAACAGGACTTGACAGAGAATTATGATAATGGAGAATGGACTGAATGTTTTTCATCTGAAAGTAGACCTGTTATTACTGATTCTCATACAGAGGATTATGAAAATGGAGTTTGGAAAATTACATTATATTGGCAAAATGCAAAGGTTTTTAAATTTAAACCAAGTGCCAAATTTAGATTTGAAATTGATGTATATAGAGCTTGTACAGATAGAGATGTAATGAAAAAAGTTGCAACAAAGATTTCATCTCCATTCAGATTACTTTCAAAACCTGAAGTTTATCTTAAAAGTTTAGCAAAGACTAAGAATAAGAGAAAGGGATCTTCAATAACCAATGATGAAGAAGAAGAAGATGAAGAAGATGATACTGATTCACATAGTGTAGCTACATCTTCCTCATCTAATTCAAAGAAAAAGGTTAAAATTTCACCAAATGCTGTCAAGAATAATTTATCAATTCCTACTTTGAAGAATACAATGAAAAATTCAAGTAGTGCAACTGCTGCTGTATCAAAACCAAGTGGTAGTTCCACTATTACTACTACTACCACTGTTATTAATTTATTGGATGAATCTAGAGATGAAATAGTTTTGGATGAAGGAGGAGCATCAAGTCCAATTCTTGTGAAATCTTCCAATTTTCCATCATCTGATGATTTTAATACAAATGATATTGAATCGAATACTGTACAAAGTCCAATCATAACCACCAATAAGAATTATGAATATATTCAATCTTCACCTCCTCCATTCCTGACACCACCACTTTCTCCTTTACCTCAATCTAGAATATTATCTTCACAAGAAAATGGACTATTTCCCTTAATAGATGGACCAATTACAAGTCAAGAAACGAGTAGTAGTAATCCATTTAACACTTCTGATATTTTCTTTAATTCAACAAATAGAGATGAGGGACCTTCATCAAGTTTAGGTTCATTATTTTCATCATCTCAATAAACCATATACCATACACCACTCACATACATATATATATTGATATATTGGATAGATTCTATCTTTATGAAAATTGGTTTTAACAAAGATTACATGTTGTGTCTCATTCAATTCATTGATACTAGTAGAATGTTGTAAAAATTAATGAACAATTCTATTGGTTTAATGGTTGATTTGGAACGATATTTCATAAATGGCATCCTCAATAGTCTGTTGTGGCTTTTCAGCTCCAAATCGAACAATGAAATATCAGTTATCAATCATAAATACGAAACCTTTCATTTATCCAACAGAAAAAAAATGGCAACTCTTCATTTCATTCCATTCATAATCAAAATATTATTTGTATTCCTAGTTATCTTGTCCTGTGTATCATTCATTACTTGCAATCCATCCATAATAAGTGATACAAGTAAAACTGAAAATGTATTCGAAACCTTTACTCAACAATCCATTTCAGTTAATGATGGAGGAAATACTCAAAATAATGGAACATTAGATAATGGTCAATGGATTTATTATGGTTCTCAACAAGCAGGTACAAATTCACGTTCAGAAAAGACCTATCTCTATTCTCTCTATTTTGAGAAAACAGTTCACGTGTTAACAAATTGGGCAAGAATGTCACCTGTTGGATTTAAATCAAGATTTGGATCCTTGTTTAAATCAGGTGTTAGTTTGGCAGCTAGTGGACTAGTTCCATTATTTGAACATTTTAATCTTGTGGAATCTGCCAGATATCATTCATATGACATGTCATTCAATAATTGTTTTTCACATGCTTCTTGTAATGGTGAAGATACTTTTGTTAGAATTGCAACTTTTTATAATAGGAATAATGTAAGTTATTGAGCTCAACATTTTTACTAAGTTCTGACTTGTGTGTGAAATGACTATTCGTCTATCGTGTGAAATATATAAACAGATTGGAATGGCTGAAAATATTGCAGCAGGTCAAACAACTCCTCTCGATGTTACAATGACATGGATTAATTCAGATTTACATCGTGCTAATATTCTTGGTTCTTTTTCTTTATTAGGAGTTGGTTATTTTCCTAAATTGAATAGTAAGTTTTATATTAAATTACTAATATTTAAAGTTATATAGATGCTGATTATTCAGATTATTGGACTCAAAACTTTGTATCAGGTTCACATGGTATTTCAAATCCAATTGTTTCAGTTTCACATTTAATTTTAACATCTGGTCAATTAACATTTTTAGCTAATTATTATCATAAATATGATATTACCAATTCCAAACAATTAAAATCCATTCAATTATTCATTGATGATAAGGGATATACCATGACATTACCTGTCACTAATCAATTTGATGATAAATCAGCAAATGGAATGGGAACTTTTGAATTTACAACTTCAGTCAACTCTACAGCAACATGTAGAAAATATTATGTTAAAGCAATTGATTCATTTGGATATGCTTATTATTATCCTGCATTTGGATATTTATTAACTCAAGGAGAAAATGGAAATTGTAAACAATTTTATTTGGCTCAAAAGAAATCAAGTGATGTTGTAAATCCAACACCAATTCAACCTACAACAGGTCAATCATTTGTGAATAGAACTAGTGTTAATGGTGCTATTAGAAATGGAAATTATTTCATTTACACTTTTATGGTAATTTTTATCATTTTTGGAATTTCTCAATATTTATTGTAAATTAATCATATACAAATAATTTATTATTAATATTATTAATATTGTTGTTTACTTTCTAAAAAAGAATTGTGTGAAATTTCTTTTCAATTCATTAAAAATTTCTCTTCCAATTTTTTTCACATTTAATTGTTTAAAATTTCTCCATACTGAACTAGCCCAAAACCACAACTTGTAACTTCTAAATAGCATCATTATTATTTGAAGAGCACATATAAAATTATGTTCAGTTTCCAAAAATGGTATCACATTACTATTTATATTTTTCAATTCAATTCCTTTCCATTTCATGTAACAACTCGAAATAAATGGAATCATTGACACATGTATCAAATATTTATAATAAGGTTTAGCACTGTCATGTACCTTTACAAATGTAAATGCTCCAACACAACAATAAAAACATAAAATTCCAAAAAATTTTAAAAATGAATTTGGATAACGACCAATGATATGTTCATATTTGATAAATCCAAATGTTTTAGAATTTAAATATACATATAGTATGAAATATCCAATTGTTCCACATGTTGGTAGAAATTCATTAACAAAATAATGTGGAATTAATTGAGGAGGAAGTAATTGAGTATAATATTGATGATTAATATTATTGGAATTTAAAATTCTCAAATGATTTGGTTTGTTTTGGTAGGGTTTTAAAATACCCCTTGAAAATGCAACATGTTTAGGAGTTTTAATAATAAATTCACGTTTTGGAATTTGAATTTCATGTACAAATAATAAACTACTCAAATCTTGTAATTGATATTTGAATTTGTAACGTTTCTTACTTTTAGATAAATAATTTTTAATAATAGAATCTGAACGAATATATTGATAATCAATAGATTTATCATATAATAATGAAAATGTTGTTAATTTGTTAATTTGTTCAATTGAATTGATTGTAATTATTGAACTAGTTCTAAAACCATGAATGAGATAAGTGGTATCTTTTTTAATTTCATTAAAATTGTTGAAATTAATAGAATTAAATAATTTACCAAATTGATTCATCCATAAATTTTCAATTTGATTAGTATTTTGATCTGTCACCTGTTCATTCATTTCATTTTCTTTCAAATTTAATAAACAATTTCCAGGTGTATTAATTAAAAATTCACAATCTTCACAATTTTCATCATTTAATAATAAATAATTTAATTTAATTGCCAATTTTACACATTTTTTCATTTCACTTCTAGTTTTAATTTTATAATTTTTAATTTTCATTAAAAAATTAAATTCATCTTGTGAATAGAAAAATAATTTAATTTTCTTTTCAATATGATTAATAACTTGTTTTTGAAAATATGAAATTAATTGATTATATTTAGAAAATTCAAATAAATTAAAATAATAAAATTGATTAATTTGGGAAAATCTAAAAATATCAGAAGGTGATAAAAATGAACAAATAGATATTAGATCATCACGTGAAAATGAATTAATTGTTATTTTTTTGTTTTGATCATCACAATTATGTAATGATGATGTTGACATTTTTTTTTCTAATTCTTCCGATCAAAGACTTTAAAATAAAATGATGAACTTTTTCTATTAATAGAACAAATAAAAAATGTCATCACCACCATCATTACCACTACAACGAAACGAAACAAGAAGCCTTGATGTTGATCATCATGCTACTAATGATGATTGTATTAGGTGGTGATGTTGATGATATTGCTAATGATTGTATTACTCGTACGAATGATGAATATTGTTTATTATTATTTGAAGATCTTCCATTGGAAATTAGAGTTCATATTTTATGGTATTGCTCAGGTGATAGTTTACAATCATTGGCTCAAGTGAATCATTTTTATAATCATTTAATATTTGGAGGAGGAGGAAAATCAATGAATTCAGATGATGAATATTCTGGATATAGAAACTCACTTTGGAAATCAAAATTGAAAGGTTTAATGAATCTATGGGTTGATCAAATCAATGAAAATATTACTAATCATTTTGTATACACGAGTATGCTGGATAATTTTACAGAGAATAGTTTAGATTCGTATATTAAAAAACAATTATTTAAAGATGGAGAAAACAATTATAGAGATTTGGTTAAACAATTACTTGAAATTAAATTTAAATATCAAGAGGAAGCTACTTGTGAAAAATCAGATACTGGAGTTACTATAAATGGAAGATATATTAGAAATAATGATATCAAAGATTGGAATTCATTTCTATGTCAAAATTATTACTTGACAAATAGAATTGAACAAGTCAATGGTCTATTTACATTCAAGGGATATGAAATTGTTATTAATGAATATTTTGCATGTCAAAATTCATGGAGAATTTTATTTGGAATTGGAATTGATTTTAATACATTTAATAATGACAAGTCTACCACTCAATATTTGAGAGAAAATAAGGGATTTGCATATATAGTTGATAGTAAAAGAGTTAAAATACTTGGGAATCACATTTCAGATGCTTCCAATATTATCGACACTGAAATTGTTAAAATTGGTGAAAGATTTTCACTTTATATTAATTTTGAGGAAAATTTAGTTTACTTTTTCAGAAATGGAGTTCATGTCATGACCATTGAATCATCTATGGAGGATAATGTTATTTATTATCCAATTATTGCATTATGTCCAAAGAAGGCAGTTACTTTGTATCCATTACTTTCATGTAATTATATTTTGAATCCTAATGCTCCTAAAAGGGGTGAAAAACCTCGTTTGTAGTAGTAGTATTGTAAAAATTAATTTTCAATAATTTGTAAAGTGTATGGTACAATCATTATTACAATGGACAATTAAAAGATTGAATGAATTTGAATACGGAGATATTAGAACATTGGAACATCATCATGTGAACGTTATCAGTGTTACAATGGAATAATAAATAACAATTTATTATTTCACGAATGTACAAATTTGGAAGTGGAAATGGTTTCTAAGATACATTATAAAACAACATTGTGTCCTTCCTTCCGTTGTAAAGTCATTATTGTTGGTGATTTGGGACAAGATCTTATCATCTTCAAAAAAAAAATGTCGACTAGACAATTGACAGTTTTAATAGTAGTAGTATTTTTATTTTGCATGATTGTTAATTCACATCATGTTCATGCAACTGTATCTCCGCATAATACTATTAAATGTTCATTGAATGCAAATCCATTATCAACTACAACTAACATTTCAATTCCAGAATTTCTAGCAACAAATCTTCCATTTCCATTTTATGATAATTCTTTATTTAGTTATGATTTAATGATTGAAAGTTTAAAGAGAGTTAATATTACACATATTAGAATACCAATTCATTGGGCATTACTTGAACCTATTCGAAATCAATTATATGATGTTTATTTAGCTAGAGTTGATTTGGCAATGGACAAATTATCTAAAAATGGAATTAAGAGTTTATTCTTTTTCAGTGGAAGTGCACCATGGATTAGTTCAGATCCAACAACTAGTAAATCAGATACTTATCCACCAACTAGTATAACACCATATACAGATAGACTTGTTTGGTTAATTGAAAGATATGCAAAGAAAGGATTAGAAATTGTTCAAATTTGGAATGAAGTTAATTTACCTGCCTTTTGGATGCCAATGGAAAATCCTCAAAATTATACAAATTTACTTAGAGAATCCTATGATAGAGTTCAAACATTCATTTCCAATACATCAAATCCTGAATATTCCTCAATGAAAAATGTGAAAATTTCAATGGCAGGCATGGCTTATTTTAGTGAAATGCCATATCATTCACAAACACCAATGTTTTATGCATTGGAACCTTTGGGAGCATATGATAAATGTGATATTGTTGCATATCATCCTTATTATGCAACACCTGAAGGAAGTGTTTCATCAGATGTTTATGATTTTGAAACAAAAGCAAAGGAAATTGCATATCCTTTATTAGCCAAGTATGGTAAAAGAATATTTGCAACAGAATGGGGTTGGTCAACTTATACAACTGATTTCTCTGAACAACCATTCATTTCAGAAAAAGTTCAAGCTGATTACATTCTCAGACGTTTGACAATTTTAATGCATTTATGTTTTGATAGAGTTTATCAATTTGCAATGTTTGATTTTCCAACTAGTATTGGAGCTTCTCAAAGAGATACCTATTATGGAATGTTGAGAAATAATATTACAATTGATTCATCTAAATCAAATTGGGAAAATATTCAACAAATGGCTAAACCTTCCTATTTTGCTTTATTGAATTATTTACAATTTATTGGAGAAAGAAAGCAATTATATGGAGTTTCAAATGTTTTCACTCCAACAAATGATCCAGGAAATATGCATTCAGTAACTGTTCATAATGGAGAAGGATCTTTGCTGTGGTTTTATTGGGGAAATCAAATTTCTAATGGAATTAAATTGAACTCACAACCAATTAAGGATATGATCAAATTAACAGGATATAACATTACTAGTTTCATTGTCTATGATCCACTTTCTAATATTATTATTAATAATACTCTTCCTAAAGATTTGGAAAATATTACCATAGATGTACAAACTAATTTGAGAATTGTTAAATTTACATTTTCAAAAGAATCAACTCAACCAGAGAATTCACTTGGTAATAATAATGGTACAAATTCAATAACACCAAAGAATAGTTCTAAAATTGCAACGAACAGTACAAGAATTTCAAGTGGAAATCAATTTAATGGAAAGTTTATAGTTTTATTTTCAATGATGGTGATGATGGTATTGATTGTTATTATTAATTAAATATTTAAATAAAATTCATAATAAAATTGTAATTTTAATCATAAATATTTTTCATTTAATTGAACTTGTCGAAATTTTTAGGATTTTCCTTTATTAAAATCCATAATTAATTATTTTCTAAATAAATAGAATTTAATTGAGGTATTGAATATATTAATTTACATCCTTTTGAAGTAATATTTTCATTACAATCAATTAAAAGTTCCCTTAATTTTTTTGGGGCACAATTAACCAATACTTGCACACCTCTATCCCCAATTTCACAATTACAAACTCCAAGAATTCTCAAATGTTGAAGGGAACAAATATATGTTAATCCTTCATCTCCAATTCTATTACCACTCAAATATAAACTTTCTAAATCAATCATTGATTCACTAATTAGTTTAACTCCCCAACTTGTAATGAAATTGGTATCTGCATATAGATTGATTAAATGATGAAGTGAGCTACATAATATTTCAATATGTACATCACTGATCTCTGTTGATTCAATATTAAGTGTTGTAAGTTGAGTTAGTGAACTAATTGTAATAGCTTCATCCATAGAAAGACTATTATTTGTATACAATAATGTTGTTAAATTTTGTAAATCATTAATCGACTCTCCAATAAAAATATCGTCAATATTATCTGAAATATTAAGATAGGTCAAATTTTCCATTTTGGATAAATATTGAACTCCAAGTAAACCTAAACAGCTTTCAGCTATTGAAAGTACTTTCAGATTATTCATGGAGGCAATTACAATAACACCATCCATCCCAAAATGATTGCCTCCAATATCAATTTCAGTAAGGTTTTTCAAATTCTTTGAAATATATTGAAGACCTTCACATCCAATATCACAATTCGAAATATGCAATATTTCCAATTTAGAAAGTGATGAAATGGCCTTGGCTCCACCATTAAGAATTTGATTATGTGAAATAGAGAGAAACTTTAAATTATCCATTCGAGAAATATGTTTAGCCCCTTCTTCTTTTAAACAGGCAGACGCAATATCAAGTTCTTGTAAATTCTTCAAATTGGAAAGCAACAAAGCACCTTTACAATTAATATTATTACCTGAAATATTGAGCTTGATAAGACAAGTCATATTTCTAATAAATTGAATGCCTGTTGCATCTATATCACAATATGAAACATTCAAATCGGTCAATTTATCCAATTTTAATTGTTTCATACCAGAATTTCCCAAAGAATTAAAAGAAATATCCAAATTTGTTAAACATTTCATAAACTTGCTTATCATTTCTATTCCTCTTCCCTTAGATGTTAATTTGTTACTACCAATATTCAATATTTTCAATTCTTTTAATTTACATAAACAAGCAACTCCACTATCTTCAATATCACTTCCATAAATATCTAAATGTATTAAATTTGGCATTAATTTCTCAATGGAAATTAAATTCGTTTTATCTGAAATTGCCTTTGAAAATGAAAATGTTAATCCATGAATATGATAATACATTAAATTATTATTGAATTTTTCCAATGTGAAAAGTAAATTTTGAAACATTAATTTAGTTTCTATTCGGATGTGAATTTTACATGCTGATCGGGAAATTTCATTCCACTTTTTACAAACGAGTGAACAAGTACAAATAATTTCCTGAAATTCTAACCATTCCAATATTTCATAACAAATATCATTAATTAATAAAATATTAACTTTATCAATATCATTCATTTTTAGATTGTGTGTGTATATAGTGAATGGGTTCAATCATGTGAAGATATTTTTTTTTAAAGAATTTATTTGCAAGTTCATCTTGAAAATTTAATTTTCTTTGTAAAGTACGTAACAATTTTGTACAATTTAAATGTTATTGCACTGAAGTTTATTTAAATATTCGAATAAACAACTTTACAATTCATGTTCCAAATGTTAAATAGATCGTGCTCCGAAAATGGTGTTCACTAAAAATCTCATTCGTTGACCTTTAAAAATCAACTCTATTCGAAACTCCTAAAAAAAAAAAATGTTTCACTACATTAGCAAACATTCACAAGATGAAAAAAACCACTACGTTGAAATGGAGGAAGAACACGAAGACCTAGCCTTCCAAGATATCGGAATTATTCCACACAAATTCATCACCATCACTATTACAGATAATAAAATTGATGAGAGTGATGGTTTTTTATCTAAAAAAACACTCTACGATATTACAACTCGAATTCGTGAGACAATTATTAATTTTAAAGTATCGCGGAGATTTAAGGAATTTAAAGAATTGTATGATTTGTGTGTCAAGTTGCCGAATGTTGTGTTATCGGAAATGCCTGAAAAGAATGCATTTAGTATGTTTGTTGTTATTGTTATTTTTGTATTGATATGGAAATTTAATATTTAATATTTACTATTTAATATTTAATATATTGATTGTAAACTATTGAATATATTTTTTAAATATATTAATGTTCATATAAATGTAAATAGATCGATTTGATGATAAAGTAATTGAGGAAAGAAAGAATCAATTTCAAATATTGTTATGTGAAATGTTGGAACATGGACAAATTTATGCAAATTCATATTTCAGAGATTTTCTTGGAATTCCAACAGATTTTTCCTTATTGAGAGTGTTAGCTTCTCATCGACATATTTTAAATTCAGTACTACATTCGAATAGCAATCAAAATGGTGGAAATCAATCTAAACATTTTCTTGAATATGAATTACCAATTATTGAATGGACACATGAAGATTTAATGATTTGGATGTGTTCACGTGATATGCATGGTTTAATTGATGTTTTTGAAAATCATCCTGAATGGAATGGTGAAAAGATTTGGAATTATGCAGTGACTGGTGATAAGGATAAATTAGTTGGTATGTTTCTTTTTCGTAGTTAATTGTAATTGTGAATTGAATAACTATTTAACATATACTTCTCAATGACAGGAATTACACCTGGAAGAGTATTGAATTTATTTAATCATCTTCGTCAAGTTCACACATTTCAAAGAGCGATTGCTGAACAAAAGAGTTTGGAGAAGAGTAGCACTAGCTCTCTAAATATTTTATCTGAATCAAATGAGGGAAGTTTAATTTATGACAAGAGAGAAATTGAAGAACCAAAAACATTTGGAGGTGAATCATTTGATATTTCATTTGATTTTTCAAATAATTTAAAGTTATCGAGTACCGAAACACCATCATCATTGGGAAGAAGTGATTCTTTTGCTTCAAATGTTGAAAGATGTGAATATTTACCACCTATTGAGAGAGAACATTTGACAGAAATGGAATTGAAGAGAATTAGAATGTGTATTGATAAATTGAGAAAGATTGATCCATATTTAAGTGAGAGAGCTTACATTATTCTTTCCCAAAATTTAGTAATCGAGTAAGTATAATATTATACTAATCAAAACATATACTCATCAACCTATTAATTGGTTCATTTATGAAAAAACAATATAGTGAAAGATTGTTATTTTTAAAGATCAATCCATATCTTGCTGATCCATTACTTGTAGATCCCTCTTCAACAATTCAACAACCTCTGAAAAGAAAGATTACTGCACCATTTGTCAAGTTAAAATTAGTCATTACAGAGCTGAGTGATACAACAGTTCACAGATTACAACGTAGTTTAGCTCATAAATTTGGTAAAGTCAACCAAGAATATGGTTATTTCCATGCAGCTTTAGTATTTGGAGCATTTTATTTAGAATGGACAGATAATTCAATTGTTACCATTCGATCCAGAAGTTCAAGTAAGGCAGTATTAGCTTATGATATTCATACATTTAGAGGACAAGAATCTATTAATAATGCTATTACTTCATTAGGAGATATTATTTGTAAATGGAATGGTGAAATGACTTACTCAACTGATAAGTGTAATTGTCAACATTTTGTAACACAAGTATTACAAACATTAGGAGTAGAAAATAGATTATCTGGATCACTTAAATTATATTTCCAAAGATTGAAGAATGATGGATATTGTAAAATGGAATTTCAACTTTCAGAATCGCTCAAAAAGATTTTCCCTTCACAAAAAAGTGTTCAATTTAAAACTCACAAGGAATTGGATGAATTTTACATGAAAGTTCAAGAGAAATTACCAAAATATTTCCTCAGTGCTGAAGGAATGTCCGATGAATTATTGTTAAAAGCATTTGATAGAGCATTTTGGTTAAGATTGGCAAGTAGTCAAAGAAAGGAAGAATATTTACCACTAAAGAATGAAAGAGGTGAAAATTCATGTCCATTTAATCCTCTTGAAAAATCATTTTCTGAAATTATTGATAATTCCATAATTGGAGGCGATTACAATTTTGGAAATTATGTACCAACTAGACCAAAACAAAGAAATGAAACTCAAGAAACAGAAGAATATTATCCAGCCATTGATTTGTAAATTATATATTAAATTTTGTAAAATAAAAAGAAACTTCACCTTCAATATAAAAATTACAAATTGATATTAAAATAAGTTTAGGTTTTGGGTCTCTTCTATGTCTGTAAAATTATCTCCTATCAAAGCTAGAATGCTAATTGCCAAGGTCAATGAACAAGAGTATTTTTTGCTACTGCTTGTTCAAATTATTAAATATTATTCTTTGGAAAGAGAAATACAAATTCGTTCATAGTATCTGCCATTTTTTGTAAAATATCAAAGTCAAAATGAAAGCCATATTCATCCATTCCAAATATTACTGAGGCAACAGTACCTTGTAAATTGGGAAAGAGTGATTGTAACCACCAAATATGATTGTTATCATACCTGGTAATTTGCAAACTAATTGTAAATCTGCTTCACTAATTGGATCACGCCATGTGAAATCTTTCAAACTTGATATTTTAGAAATGTGAGTAAATAAATTATTGTGATTTGAAATTGCCAGAATTAATATTTCTAAATTTGTTAATTTGCTCAATTCTGAAATGTCTATTTTATGTTCTGATTCTAAATAGAAATATTTAACATTTTTAAAAGATTCTACATTCAATTGATCTGGTAAATGAGTTTCCTCACAAAGATTTAAATGTAAAACTTTTAGAGATGGCATTTTAACATTTGATAATAAATTCCATTGTATGTTGTGAGGTTTGTCATGACAAAGTCTTCCAACAATTTTTTTGCTATTTTGTAACAACAGCAAAAAATGCAAAACAACAACACTCAAAAACAATCTCACATTATCAAGCCTAATTTAAAAATATCGAAAAAGGCTTCATCATCTTCCGATCTCCACCAACAAAACAATGAACAAGTTACAGTGGATAGTCGTGATGTAGTTAAATTAATGTTACAATTTTGTATGGAAAATAACATGACAGAGAGTTTCAAGGCTATCAGTAAAGAGAGTGGATTAACATGTAATACAATGCTGCCCCAACATAGAAAACAATTTCTAACAAGTATTGAAAAGGGAAGTTGGACATTTGTGTTGGAAACCTTGCAACAACCCTATTTAACATTTTCTAAAGGGTTATTGATCAAATTATATGAACATGTTATATTTGAATTGATTGAATTATCGGAAGAGAATGTTGCTAGGTTTTTGATGAATAATATTCAAGTAATTTCTGTTGATTTACGAGAGGAAGAACCTGCTAGATTTAAAAAATTGGAACATGTTGTAAATAATGCAAAACATTTTGATAATTTAATCGCCTATGATGGAAAGAATAAGAATGATATTAGAAGAGAGCTTTCCTCTTTATTTCAACAAGAAATTTTATCAATTCCTTCTAGTTCAATGTTAAATATTATTGGAAATGCAATTCAATATCAAAAGATGAAACAAGGTGATGATTTTGATCCAAATACTTTCCATCTATTGGATCACACTGTTAAGAATATTAAAAAATCATCTGATAAGCCGACAGCCATTGCCAGCACTACTCAAGTCAAACAAGAGGAGGATGACAGTATGGAAAGTGACGAGACTACCAATGCCGAAATTAAAATATTGGACAGACCATACAAGATTATCAAATTTGGAAAAAAGACTCAAGTTAATTGCTGTCACTTTGTTTCTGATTATCTGATAGTAGGCACAAGTGATGGATTTGTGGAGATTTATGATTATTTAACAGGCAAAATGAATAAGGAATTGGCTTATCAGGCAAATGATGAACTAATTGTTCATGAAGATTCCGTAACTTGTGTTGGTACTAAAGTTCAACCATCAGGTATTCTTCTTGCTACTTCAGCTATTGACAAGACAATCAAATTGTGGAATTTATTAACAGGAAAATGTCTTTTGAAAATTCCAACTGCAACAGGTGCAAATTGTATTTACTTTTCAGATTATGACAATACTATTATTTCAGGTTATCCAAATGGTTCAATTAAAGTACACGGATTAACATCTGGTGGTACTGAACTGAAGGATCTTTCTGGACACACTTCATTCATTAATTGTATTATTCAACTAGATAATGAGCACATGTTATCGTGCAGTAGTGATGGATCTATTAGAAAGTGGAACACCAAGAGTCAACATTGTGAAAAAGTCTATACAATCTCTTCTATGAGAAAGCCAAAACTTACAGAGGAAGAATCATCAAGTTCAACCCTAGATTTACCAATTCAACAAATTCTCAAATACCCAAACATGGAAGGATTCCTCTTTGTTTGCCATCCATCCAATTCCATCTCAGTTTTAAATATGGAAACAGGAAGAGAAGTATTTAAATTTGTGAGTAATAAGGAGGAAGACGTCTTTGTTTCAATTACACATGATAATAACTATCTGTACGGAGCTACCAATTCCAACAAGTGTTGCATCTATCAAATTCCATCTCACATCCCAATGAAATGTGAAGAAATAACTCCACTAAGAACTGATGACTTGCAACACAAAAAGACTGTTCATTCTCTTTCGTTACACGAATCAATTCTACTCTCCTTCTCTCAGGAAAACATTAATTTATGGAAATAAACATTGGAACTAGTAGATTCAAATCGCATTAACTGTGTATTATTGCTGATTTAGAAAACATCATTCACATATTCACATGGACAAATAACAAAATTGACATGTGAAATTAATCATAAAAAATCAACACAAAGATCAATGAGTCTGAGTACAGTACGTATCACATCTTCCGAATAGTATTATTGACAAGAAGGAACACAACATGTTGTTCAGAAAGATGAAATTACAATCTTTAAAACATTTAACAAATTTATTCCAAAATTAAAGAAACGTTGGAGCATTCCAATATTAGTTATTAACATTTTCCTACCTGGAATTGGAACACTCATAGCAGGATGTGTCACATCTAAAAAGAAGAAGGTTAAATATTGTGTTTTATTTGGATTACTTCAATTGTTTTTGGCGCCAATTCTAGTTGGGTGGATTATGAGTATATTTTGGGGAATTTTTATGTATAAAAGAAGTACTGGTATTGGAAAATTCATTCCAGATATTTAACAACATTTTTATTGTAAATATAAAATTAAATTCACAATTTCTTGTTTTTTTAAATTTTATCAAAATATTAAACAATTAAAAAAAAATGATTACAAATGGAAACAAGATGATCATTGATGAACCTACCACTTCATCATCATCCGAAACCAATGATCAAACAATCATTCAACAACAGCGAGAATATATTAAATTATTGGAGAGTGAATTACAATCATTGAAGGAACATTTCCAGTCTTCGATGGAGAAGATCATGACTAGTCCTTTCTTCTCTCAATCCATTCTTTTATCTGTAGTAGTACCATCAATAACAACAACACCAACACCAACAACAACATCAACTAATAATATTCCACCAATATCCCAATCTAATTTATCAAATAATAATAGTGTAATAACATCAATCATCATCAACAACAAGAAGGAATGATAATGATGGTGAGAATCAACACAAGGCGATTACTAAAACAGAATCTTCTACTAAAAAAGCTAAAACACAACCTAATAATAATACAAAACAACAAGCCTCCACTACAACTACTCCAATTAAGAAGAGAAAATTTCAACAAGAAGAAGAGGAATCAAGTAGTGATAGTGAAGAAGATGAAGAGGATGAAGAGGAAGACGAATCAACTGAAGAGGAATCTTCTACTAGAAAAACTAGGCAACAATCAAGGAAGAGTGATGTCATCTATGATAGTGATGAAGAACCAGTTATTGAGAATATATTTGATATGGTAGGTCTTTATTGTAATTTATTCAATGACACAAATCATATGATTAATACAGAAATTTTGGAATAGGGAAATTGCAAAATGGAAGAAAATTAATACCAAAACATTACCAAAAGTTAAAACACCTAAGGAAGGAACTAAACAACCATTGGAAGAATTGGAGAAAATATTGGAAAAGCAAGTGGAGACAACTCCTACCAAATCTAAATCTAAATCTAAGAAAGCGAAGGAAACTGCTCAATCTACACCTACAACAGTTACCAATAATACCAATGGTTCATCATCGTCATCATCTAATGGTGAAAGTAATAGTAATGTAATTGATATTTCAACTTGTGATAAGGAACCTTACTTGTTTGATTCTGATGATAAGGAACCAGTTGCACTTACAGAACCAATTATAAAAGCTATTGGAACCAAAATAGCAACAAAAGTCGAAGTATTTAAAAAACTCTGGGAATATCTTTACGAAAAACAATTATTCAATGAAAATCACAGGATTAGTATGGATCCACTAATTAAGAGCGTATTAGGAATTGAATCTAATGATGTTATTACAATTAATGAATTTAACAGACATGTTGTCGAACAATTAAGAGAAGCCACCATCAACAAACAAAAGAAGGAAGATATTTCACAAAAATTCACAATTTTATAATTTTACTGAATAGATCTTTAACTAATATTCATCATCTACTATTTAGAAACATTCTAGCATGCAATTTCATTTCCAATTCCTTGTTCATCTTTAAAAATAAAAAAAATGACATCCAATATTGCTGATGAAATTAATATTGCTGAATCACGTGTAATTGAATTGGCAGATAGTAAGAATCCAACCGGAAAGGTTTGGCAAAAGATTGATGAAAAGAATGGATGTACAGCAGTAGGTTTATAGTATTGATTGATAATATTTAATGAACAACAATTTGATCATCAATTTTATTGCTTGCAGGAATTTGCTGAGCCTCCACCACATACTGGATCTTACAAGGTTACCTTCTTAATGTCTGGTATGTAGATTTATGATTCTAATATCTTGACCTTTATCCACATGATGTTTATGAATAATTTATATCATGATTAAATTATTATTGATCATCATGAAAATTACTTTAAATAATTTATTAATAATTAGGATTGACACCTGAACAAGTTGCCAATGTATTGTGGGATAGTAATCATGTTTTAAAATTGAGTACTTCCCTCTCCGAAATTAAATCATTGAAAAAGGTTGAGGATATTGAAGTTGTTGTTCACTCCCATAAATCACCTGCATTTGGTGTTTCAAAGAGAGATTATTTGATTTGTAGAAGATTGAAAAAGAGAGAAGATGGATCAATTGTTTTATGTCAAAAGAGTGTTGTAGATAATGCATTGTATCCAGAACAATCAGGATATGTTAGAGGAGATTTGTTAGTTTCTGGTTATGTCATTAAACCAGTTAAGAAACCAAACGAAACAACTGCTACTAGTTGTCATGTAACATATGTTATTCAAACTGATGTTAAGGGTAAGTCATTTCAAATATTGAAATATTTACAATGTGTAATTATAGGATGGATACCAGATTTTGTTAAAAAGATGGCCAATTCTCAATTGTGTTCTCAATTACTTGATCTCTATTCATATGTAAAGAAATTGTTGGGTATTAACTAAATATTATAAATGTATATAATTTTACTTTCACCAATATTCAACACTTTGCCAAACTCCAAGCAAGAATTTGAAAATCCAAAAATCCAAACTATCCTACTTCGTACCTATTGTTGTACTATCTATTCACCCATGCTCAGAGAGCTTTTATGAAGAAAGAGTTCTACCTTAGATCATCTCGTTACATACTAAGAACTGCCATTTCGTATCGCATTAAAAAAAATGCTTTCAGCAATGAGTGTAGGAAATGCATTAATTTCACCTTGTGGGAGCACTGGAAAAAATACCTTAATTACAACTATTGAAAGTTGTGTTTTTAATATCAATGACCACTATCGGAAGAAGAAAGAACAAGAATTTACTGAAGGCTTGTTAAGCTTGCAACAATATTGTTCTCAATTAAATGATGAATCAGAAAGGAAACTAAGCAACGAACCAGAATAATAAGGAATAGTCCATGTTTCTTTCTCCAGAGCAATAAAGTTGATCATCTCGACAAGTTAATTTTCACAAAATCCAACAAATCAAAGTGTGCAAAACAGAGAAATATCTATTGTTCACAATCTCACAACAATTCAACTTGTGCAAGTTCATTTACATGAAAACCATAAAAAAATGTCATCACACGAAGATGCTAAACCAGTTACGATAATTTTAGATGGACAAAACAACACCCCCATCATGTATAATATGCTGCGGAATACAATGAACAAGAAAAGAGAAGAAACTTTACAAAACTTGAAGGAATATTGGAAATATTTAATAATTATTCATCATTCTAAAATGATGAAAAGGAAACGTGTTACTGAATTATTTAATTCCATTCCTACATTGGAAATGAAAAGACAATTTATATTAGGATATGTCATGAGAGATTGCGGCTTTATATATGGTAACTCATTTGAAAAGGATGAAGATTTTATGATTCAAGTTTTGAGGAATAAGAAGGGAAAGATTTTTTTCCAAGGTGATTTGTGGAAAGCAAAGACCTTTGTTTCTAAAGCTGTTAAATATTATAGAGATGCTCTAAAGTTTGCTTTATGTACTATTGATTCAGAAATAATTTCATCATCTCTTGAGTTTAAACCTAATTCTCTTCAGCATTGTAAGAGAGGTATTAGAAATGATAAGGAAATAGTGATGAAATCTTTAGGGAAAAACTATGGAACTATTATGTTTGTTGGAGAAAGTCTATTAGATGATATTGATATATTGAGGAAATGCTTATCAAAGAGCAAAAATTTAAAAACCTTGAAATATTCGATGACTGAAACACTGTTAATGAAAGAAATTGTGAAAAGATAGTGAAATTATCCGAGAGGATGTAGAATTATTTAAACTTGCAATGAAAAATGAAAGCCCCAGTATTAACAATATTCCAAAAAAGATTGCTGAAAAAGGAGATGTGATACATTGGTTATATGAAAATGGATTCCATAATTGGCATACTGACGAGATTGTAGCTGACTGCTATCCCAATGATGATGAATTAACCAACTATCTATTGAAAAAACATGTTATTGATAGGGGAGTTTCATATATTCCTTACATCTTGAATAAGCATAGAAATCTTTGTCGTAAGGCAATCAAAATTGTTCCTTCAATATTATTTTCGTTTGATAGACTACTAATTGAAGAAATAATTCTTGAGGAGGACTTGATGTTTGAGGTTGTTCAGAAAAGTCCTTCATTGATTAGCAATATGTTTTCATTATCCAACGACTTTCTTATCAAATGCTTGAAAAAAAATCCAAGAATAATTGATCATATTAGTACCACATGTTTGACATCTCTATTATCATCACGTGACCATCTACAATCCCTTTTGGAAATTGATTCAACCTTTATTGTACGTGCAATGAAAAAAGCCTACTTGAACGACATTGTATTGGAGAATGTTATATCGGTAGCTCCACTTCATTTGATTATATTCCCTTCTCTCAAAATAGGGTATTCCAAGTTAAGTGTAGACAGATTAAGGCACTTTACAAAGATGGCTATTGAAAATGGACTCAATACTGAAAGCAAACATTTTCAGTCTTTGGCCATTAGTAGAGATAAGGAGATTGTTAATTTTATCAAAAATAGATCGAAAGATGTCACTAAATAAGATGAATGGATAATAAGGAACCTTTCAAGGTAATCTATTGGGAATTTTCATGGCATCAATTATTGGGTATTGATGATTCTTCCAAAAATTTTAAATTATTTTCTTAATTCCAAAATATTCATCCAAAATGGACCACAATTCTTCATCACTTTCTATCAATTTTTCTGTAGTGGTTCCCAATCTTCTGATTGTGAATTTCCTGTCAACAATTGAATATCTACCTTCAGTTGTCATTAAGGCAACCAAAACCATCTTTGTTTGGGGATGATTTGGATTAGTACTTGCATACCAAGCTCCCATCTCAGCATCCAAGAAAGACATGACGTTATCCTCCTGAAAATGCATAATATCCCACCAGTCAGATTCTGCCTTGTTTTTATATTGGAGAAACCACTGTCCACTAACAACTTTCCCATCTTTTATATCTTGATGATCTGTATTGACACCTGTTTGAAATCTAAAGCAACCCCATTTGTCAAAATTTAATTTTGTGCTTTGTGAAATAGTTCCCAATACCAATCGAAATACTTCTCCTGTATTTTCTGTCTTTTCACTTCCATTGACAAGTGGGAGTGGAGATCTTGGCATACCACCCCATCCTAAACCGTTATCCACCAAATAAGTGTTTCCATCTTGGCAATCAACCAATAGAGCCAAGTGAGTGAAAGGACCAACTGGCAATCCAGAGATTGGATCTACTGTTGCCAAGCGATTAACACCTCTGGCTCCAATGGGTTTGACAGTAAAGCCAAATTCTCTCAAAGCTCTCGCCAATAGAAGATTCTGTTCGAAACAAAAACCTCCACGATCATTTAACACCATTTTCCTGAAAATATCATTTGGATCCAGAGATACTTTGATTTTAGAATTTGAATCGGAAACTATACGATATTCATCTGGATAAATAGTTGCCAGATTTTCGAATGGAATATGAGTTGCATGATTCCACACAATGGCATGCAACAATCCATACGAAATTGACTTAAATTCCTCTTCCACATGGATACGTGAATTCAAACCAATACGTTTCAGATAAGCATCAATGTCGAAACAGTCCATAATATTATTGTTGCACTTTTTTTTTCACTCGAATTGGATTGCTTGATAATCGTTGATTTTTCCAACGTTTTAATTATGATTGTTAAAATCTTGGAATTTAAATGTCCACTTTCTGAGATGGTGCATCCTTATTGGATACGTCCGCCCACTTGACTCGCCTGAAGATCCAGGCAGTTAACAATCTCGGGTGAAAAAAAGTTCTAGGGAGGATTTCATTAAAGTTAGTGTACAATTAGGCAAAGCTTGGTTATAAAGGTAGGATTTATTTTGGTGTCACAATAAGCGAGCTCTAAGCATCAATAATGACCGTTAGGTGCAATATCTAAAAGGAAGGGTGGTACGTGGATCGAACACGTGACCATCGGATGTCTGCTGCAAATATCTTTGCAATCCGGTGCTCTACCGCTGAGCTAACCACCCCTTATGCTCAGAAAATTATTAAGGCAAATTTCGAATTTTGAGACATTGGTTATTTCTTGACCCTGCTTTGCACAAACACAATGAAAGCAATGAATGTTACCTATATTACACTGGAAACTGATGATTTGTTGATTTCTCAGTATCTGTATTGTGCTTCTTGGAAAGAAAAACAGAAATGGCGGAAGTAAATTCTTCCCCGGGTTGTGCAATTTCATTTAAATTACAGGCTTGATTTTGTATATATTCAGTATAAATTGATCCTAACCATTTTTTTCTACGAGTAATACCTAGGTATAGGATGATGAAATTATTATTAACATGATATTTTAGAATATATATTTAATCATCCATTCATATTATAATATTAATTGATCAAAATAAATTTTCATCAATATTCCAATCTTTTTAAAACCTACCAAATAAAACTACAAATAATGAATTTCCAAATCTTCCTTCCTCTATTTTTGATATTGAAACTCCAACAGGAAATGAAGAATATGAATGTACCATCAATGAACTTCCGATTTGAAATTTTGAATTATGAAAATATGGATATGATGTATTCATCACTTCAGTTAAATTAAAAGGAGGTGGTGAAGCACTCCCCGATCTATTCAATGCTGCAGATGATGATGATGATGATGATGATGACAATGATGATCCTCCTCCTCCTTCCTCTATGGCAATAGTTGGACTAGAAGGAGATTCATCATCATCTATTATTTCCTTGTGGGGATATGTATTCTTATCAACATAATAAACAAATACTGAATTTAATGATTCAATAGGTGTTGCCATAATGCTGAAAATGATTACAGGAGAACAGTTGGTTAGAAAGAAGGCTTTTTTTTAAAGTTGTGTTGTTGCATCTTATTTGATGACTCATCAAAGGCTTTGAATATAAATTCAAAAGCCTTATTTGATTCTTATTTCAATAAATTTCATTGGATATCAATATATGGATCATCATTCTCACCTATATATTTAAAAAAACAACAACTTCTTTTCAATGTTAGAGCAAAACATATGAAAAAATTGTCACCAATAATATCATCCTCCTCTTCATTGCTCTCTTGTTGTTCATCATCGTTATCCACTCTAACCACTGCTTCCTTCACCATCACCAGCATAAAAAATATTCAATGTTCAACTTGTCGTGCTGGAAAATTTGATTTTTTCGTTTTTAAAAAAATACCTTCATTTCATACTAGGACCCATTTTCTTCATCATTTCAAAATGTCTGCTACCACTGTTCCAGAAGGCTTCTTGTTGGGTATGTGTAACCCATTGTTGGATATTTCTGCTGTTGTTCCAAAGGAATTTATTGACAAGTATGAAGCTCCTCATGGTTCTGCTTGTTTAGCTAGTGAAAAACAACTTCCATTATATGGAGAACTTGTTTCTAATTATCCAGTTAAATATATTGCTGGTGGTGCTACACAAAATGTTATGCGTGTTTTCCAATGGATGAATCAATCAAGTGTTCCAACTGCTGTCTTTTTAGGTTGTGTTGGTGATGATGAATTTGGTTCTATTATGAGAGATACTGTCACAAAGGATGGATTGAAAGTTATTTATCAAGTTACAAAGGAAAAGCCAACTGGTACTTGTGCTGTTTTAGTTTGTGATAATGAAAGAGCTCTTGTTGCTAATTTGGGTGCTGCTGAAAAGTATTCATTTGAACATTATCAAAGTGAACAAGTTCAAATTGCTGTCAAACAAGCTCAAATGTATTACATTTCTGGATTTTTCTTGACTGTTTCATTTGAAAGTGTTTTGGCTACTGCTCAACATGCTTGTGAAAATGATAAGATTTTCTCTTTCAATTTATCTGCTCCTTTCATTATTCAATTCTTTAATGACAAGTTGATGCAAATTTTACCATATGCTGATTATTTATTTGGTAATGAAGAAGAAGCTAGAACATTTGCTACTTCAATGAAATGGGATCTTACTGATGTTGCTGAAATTGCTGCCAAGACTTCTCTCCTCGAAAAGAAGAATGAAAAGAGACAACGTATTGTTGTTTTCACTCAAGGTGCTGATGATGTTTGTATTGGTATTAATGGTCAATCACATAAGGTTCCAGTTAGAAAGATTTCAAAGGAAATGATTGTTGATACTAATGGTGCTGGTGATAGTTTCGTTGGTGGTTTCTTGTCCTATCTTGCTAAGGGTTATCCTATTGATGATTGTGTTAAGGCTGGTATTTATACTTCCTCAACTATTATTCAATATGAAGGTTGTACTTATCCAGAAAAGCCAGATCTTACTCAAATCTAAACTTGTAAAAAATTTGATTCTATTTTTTTAATTGATTATTATTTGTGTGTTTCATGTTGTTGGTGTTGTAGAACAATGTTTGTAATCGAGTTCCCTTGTTGTATGGATATTGTTAGCTTTTTACCTTCCATACAATTAACAGCTAAGGTTTAAAAATGTAAAGTATTTGGCGCCAAATACAAAATCAAAAAAAACAAAACAACAACTACACCTCACTTAATTTATTCATCATCGTCCACAAAGGCTACAACACAAAAACTTAAAATCAAGACTGGAAGCTGTAATAGATGTTTCAAGGAATATAATTACTACAAAATTGAACTTCAAAAGGAAACCGATAGACTCACAGGAATGCAAGAAAGAGGAGATGAAGAAACCAAATTAAAACAACAACAAAATGTCATTGAGGAAACAAAACAAATGATTCCTAATACTCAATCACGATTAAATCAAGCCTATTCTGATTTGAAGAAATTCCTTGATGAAGTTGAAGAAGAATCCATTGTTGAAACAGAGGAATATAAGAATGCAGTATCAGCCATCACACAAGTAGAAGAAGCTAATCTTTTACAATAGAAAATTTAATGTACAATACAATTAATAGACAGCATTTAAATCATTTTCTTCATCCTTATCCTTATCATCTCGTTGTACATTCTTCTTTTGTCTTAAATTTTGTGGAAGTGAAATTGCATGAAAACCAACAGTATAATCAATTACTTTTCTCTTTGCATAAATGACAAAGCTATCTTCATCATCTTTGAAATTTGAATGTAAAGATAAAATGTATGGATCATGTTGTAAAATTAATTCAGTCAGTATTTGATATTCATCATCTGTGAATGAATCCTTCTTTCTCAATGAATGAATAAGTGAAAGAGCACTAACAGTCTTATCATGTGATGAATAAGTTTCAGATTTCTTTTCAACTTCACCACTTGTACTTGTTGATACAACTTCATTTTCTGCTTCTTGATTAATTTCATCTGGAATTTCCTTTAAATTAACATTACGTGATGGTATTTGACCTGTACTTCTACTCCATAATAAAATATGATATTCTCTTAGAGATCTTACATCTTCATTATCATTAATTTTTTCAGTCCACCAATTTTCTTCATATTTGTAAACTTGTTGAATTGATTCATTATCAAGTCCATGTGATTCTGCAATACGTTTTCGTAAATGTTCATAACTATTTAAATTTAATCGAATTGTACGCATATCTCCAAATGGATATTCAATTACTCTTTTTAATTATTATTTTGATTATTTGATAATATATTTTGATTATTAATATTATTTTGATTATTATTATTATTTTGATAATATTTTGATTCATTGTTTTAAATATTAATAAATGTATATTATTTAAATTTGATAAATTCCACCTACCTAACATATTTACCATAGACAAACATTTTAGTGGAATGGAAACTGAAAGCACTACCACCAAATGTACGGAATAAACTATTTTAAATGTATATTATTTAATTGTGTCATCAATTGTTGTGAATTATTATTATAGAATTGTAATATTAGTGTAAATGATGACGATCGTCATCAATAATTAAATTAATAATAATAATAATAATAAATAATAAATAATAAGAGAAATAATAAACATACTTTCCCCAATTTGAAATGGCAATAAAGCCAATCATTTCTGTAAGAAAACCCATTCTATATAGTACTAATATTCCGAAGTAGAAAATTTAATGTGTGAACACGTGTATTTGTGTGTTAATTTTTTTTCGCTTTATTTCAGAATCCTTTTCAACATTCACAATTTATTCCACAAACTCAATCAAGATGTGATATTAATAATCGTCATCTATTAAAAACAAAATAATTATAGGATAATATAATAAACTACTCTATATTGTTACAAAAATTTAAAATAATTTGAATTTCTTAGCTGCGAAAATACCTATCACAGCACTAGCAGCAACAGCTCCGATACCAATAACCCAATTCAAAGCTGATGAACTTTCCTCAATAGTTGTTTTAGTAGTTGTTTTAGTAGTTTTAGTACTAGATGGTTTTTCTGTTGTTGTTGTAGATGTAGTAGTAGAAGTACTTGTTGAAGCAGCCTTAGTTTGTTCTTGTTTTTCCAAAAGTTTCTTCTTTTCCTTTTCATCTTGTTCTCTATATTGATGATATAAATCAACAGTTTCAGCCTTATCATGAACAATTTGTCTGAGTTCTGATTTTTCAGCAAAGAATTCAGAAGTAACTTGATCTAAAATCTTCTTATCTTGATCATCTGATGATTCAGTTGTTTCAGTTACAACTGGAACAGGTGTTGGTTCAGCAACAACAGTTTCAGTAACTGGAGTTGGTTGTTCAACAACAGGTTCTGGAATTGATTCAATACTAGTAGATTCCAAAGCCTTTTCCAAAATTGCTTCATGATCTTCCTTAACTGATTCTTCCTTCTTTTCTTCAATAACTGGTTGAGATTCTTCAACAACAACTGGTGTTTCTTCCTTCTTTTCTTCACTAACTTCAGTAACTTCTTGTTGAACTGGAGTTGTTTCAGCAACAACAGTTTCAACATTTTCGGAAACAATTTCTTCCTTCTTTTCTTCAACAACAACTGGTTGAGTTTCTTCTACAATAATTGTTTCAACTGGTGATTCAGTAACAGCTGGTGTAGATTCAATTGGTGTTTCTTCTTCCTTCTTTTCTACAACAGTTTCAACAACTGGTTGAGTTTCTTCAACAACAACTGGTGTTTCTTCCTTCTTGTCTTCAACAACTGGTGTTTCAATAACAACTTCCTTCTTGTCTTCAACAATTGGAGTTTCTTGTGTTTCTTCCTTCTTTTCGGAAACTACAGATTCTGGAACAACTTCAACTTCCTTCTTTTCTTCAACAACAACTGGACTAGTTGGTGTAGTTTCAGTAACAACTGATTCTTCCTTCTTTTCATCAACAACTACTTCTGGAGTGGTCTCTACAACAACAATTTCTTCCTTCTTTTCTTCTACAATAGTTTCAACAACTACTGGTTGAGTTTCTTGTTGAACTGGTGTTTCTTCTTCCTTCTTTTCATCAACAGGAGTTGCTGGACTTGATTCTACACTTGTAACAGAAGCAAGCATTGAATCATTAATTTGACTTGAAGTTAATGTAGTATCAATAGATTGAACAGAATCACCCAAATTATTTTCTTGATATTGTTCAGTCATTACAGTTGTGGTTGTATTAATTAATTCTAATGATGAAATTGGTTCATTATTTGTAATAACAGGAACATCACTTGTACTATTGAGCATACTATCATCAGTTGTTGTTGTTCCTGAAGTAGTAGAAACTTCATCACTTTGAAGAGTTGTGGAGGCTTGAGTTGTTGTATCTTCAAGTAAATGATTATCGGAAGATAATACTACAGGTGTTTGTTCACTACTTGTTGCGTCTCTTGGTGTTGTTGGTTGTTGTTCAAAGATTTGTGAAGAACCTGGAGTTGATGGTGTTTGGGCATCTTGCTTCTTATCATCCTTCTTTTTCCTTGAGAAGAATGATGGTGTTAAGGACTTTTTAGGTTTTTCAGGCTCTGGTTTCTTTTCTTCTACCACCACTTTCTTTTCTTCAACCTTTTTCTCCTTCTTTTTAGTCATCTTGTGGATAGATTCTGTACAAAAATGTGTGGATGGATTTTAGGGGTTTTTTTACAAGTTGTGTATTGATAAAATTTTCTCTAATGAGGAAAGTACCATCATTTTGTACAATTATAAATTCTTTCAGTTGCTTCTTGTTGAGCGTGATCATCACACCAGCCTGAATGAAAACAACCATTTTCGGACCAATTAAGATGTGTGTGGCACGTATGAGGAGGTTGTTGAATAATTCTCAATTTGGTGTTTTCAGTATTGAGGGTAGATTTGGTGTTCATCAATCAATTCCAAACTTCACTCAAAACTCCTATGCTGCTTAGCCTATGGGGAGGACAACAAGCCTTATTGAGTTTGAACAAATTGATTTACCAAGCCTTTGCTCTTCATTCAACATAAAACCAGTAACGTGATATTTAAAACTCGAACGTGAAAGCCTAAAATATTCATCTAATTTCTTCAAACTTTTTACTTCAATCAAATTAATCATCTCTTCAAATAATAAATATAAATTAATTAAAAAAAATGTTAACTAAACAATTCCTTTATAAATATTCATCATATTCTCAATTACCTAAAACAACACGTGAATCATATACATTACTTCGGGAATTACTTCGTCTGAAATATAAATATCCACTTCCTATGAGATCAAAATTTGCACACAATGTTAAAGAAGCCTTTTCAGTAGTATCACTCTTCGGAACAGAACAAGAACAACAACAATTATTATCAAATATGTTAACTCATGATTTACCTTTTTTAAAGAAATTAACTACTCTACCTGAACACGCTTATCAATTATTTGATAAAAGATTATACTCTCCTGAATTATATATACATAAAAATAATGATAATAATAATAATACAAATTAATATTATTTAAAATTATTAATTATCATCCTTATATAATATTATTATTATTTTTATTATTATTATTATATATTGGATTGAAATGATAACAATTATTAGAAAGTAATTATGGAAGAAAAAGGTTTAAAAAAGATTTAATATTTATTAATTTTATTTATAATAAAATCATATATATACATTTGATATTGTCTTTTAAAATGTCTATTATTATATTTAAAATAATTAATTACTAAATAAGTAAATAAATAAAATAATAATAAAGAAATAAAAATAATCCAAAGTAATAATAATTTATCTAAATTATTCCAACCAATATAATTTGAAATATAATTAAAATTATAACAATATAAACCATTATTAATATAAACACTATTATTAATACATGGTACACATTGTTTATTATAACATTTTAAATATTTAAATGTTGATGATAAATGACATGTATCATATATTATATTATTTAAATATATTATTTCACATTCTTTTAAATATAATGGATGTTCAACTATTGAAATACATTCAATTAAATTATTATTATTTATATATTCATTATTATTTATATAATTTAATATTTCACTTTTATTTTCTATTTTTAAATAATCATATTTATTATATTCATTCATTAAACATGGTGATAATGATAAATTAATTTCTTTACATTCTATTAAATTATTATTTATATTATTCATGTTATTTATATTATTATTATTATTATTATTATTACTATTTATATTATTATTATTATTAGAATTGTTGGAATGATAATTAAATAAATGATGATGAATAAATTGATGAGGAGGAGATAACAATATGAATAAAAGAACAAGTAATGTATATTTGCTCATTTTTTTAACTAGTTTACAAATTAGGAATCTTCCTTATAAAGTTATTAAATGTACGCAAATTGTTTACAGTGAATAATGTAATCATTGAGGTAAATTTAGCTAGTCTTAACAATTATAACAAACACACCAAGTCAATCAAATGAATTTCATTAAATGGATTGTTGAATAGCAAGGGTATATAGTTGTGTTGTTATTAAGATAAACTCTCAGAGTTGGCTGATGATAATTATCATGGATATTAAGTGGTGATGGATTTCTAACCGATTTTCCCCCGCCAAATTATTTGTAGTTAAACGTTTGAGCATATCTTATTTAAAAAAAAATTACCCTACACTTCCTTACACCTCAACAACACAACAACAACAAGGAACCTTTTTTTATGCTATCGTAGTGAACTTTAAGAATAAGAAACATCATCAATATAATTATCATCATCATTAATCAATTAATCAGGACTGATCTTTTTTGGATAACAACAATAATATGACTAGTAACTTTAGAGCAGGTTCAGTGTTTTTGCCAACATCAAATCCACTTCCATCACCCCGAGTGTCTCATGATGGACCCATCACTAAATATAATCAGAATGAAGAAGATGAAGAGGATAGTACTAATCCAAAATCATCACATAGAGCTAATAGTAAAGGAAGAAAAGGATCAATAATAAGGAAACGTAAAGATGCATCTCAACTTAATTTAATGAATTCATCATCAGCTGCTGTTTCTTCTGCTGCTATTAATCTGAATGATATATCTGCCATTAATGAAGGTGGTGATTCATTCTTTATTACGAGAGGACCTCAAATACAATTTCCGAGTGTTGTTTCCAATGGTAAAAAACCACAAAAAGTTAATAATGTTGATGCAGCATTGGAAAGTAAAAAAGCTGAACTACAAAAAGTTCAACAAATGCTTGATCAAAAAAGGAAAGAATATGAATCTAATGATACAAAATGGAAAGATCAAGAATTAGAATTAACAAGAAGAAGACAAGAATTAGATAATAGTCAAAAAGATATGAAACAATTTAATCAAATTAATGAATCTAAAATTGACAAGTATTATAAAAAAGTAAAAGAAGAACAAAATCAAAATGAAGAAAAGATGAAACAAATTGTTAGCCTTACTAAAAATATAACTCAATTAACAGATGAAAAAAAGAAAAAGGAAGAAGAATTGAAAAAAATTCATTTATTTCAAAATTATCTGAATATAGTAGCTAGACATGATAATAATACATTTGAAGATGATATGGATAAAATATTAAAAAGATATGAAATATTACATGAATCAATAATTGATTTAGAAAATCAAAAAGAAAATTACAAACAATTAATTAAGCAAACTCAAACAGAATTTAAAACCTATCAAAAACAAGCACAAAATAGATTATATGAATTAAATGTTGAAAATCAACAAAAGAGATTATTATTAGAAAAATTGAAAACTAAATCCTATAATTTAGAATCAGCCTATTCACATCAAGATTTAGCCAATAGAAAATTATCACAATTATATTCACAAGTTATAATGAGTATTACAAATTTACATCAACGTTGTATGGAAACTAGAAAATTTAAACCAACTGAACAACCTAAATTTATTACAGATAGACTTGAAAAGAATATTTCAGAAGAGTATAAACATTTACAAGCTATTCAAAATAGAATACAAGATGTTGAAATTATTGTAAATTCTATAATTAAGGGTGGTAATAATCATCTACATCAAAATAATTTAGGAAATAATGGAGTGAATGCATCAGTACATGAATAGTAGTAGTGGTAGTGGTAGGAGTATTAGTATAATATATATAAATTCTATTATTAAACAAGTGGGAGATTGAGAAACAATTTCAGGTGGTGATAGTATTGGTGAGAGTGGTATTAATGGTGGTAATGAATGTAATTATTTCCAATTTTCATCTTCATCTAAATCTAGAGATTTATGAGTTGGAAATTTAGGTTCTAATTCATCATAATTTGGATTTAAACCTTTCATTGAATGAATATTTGATTCATTGAATGTAGTGGTAGTGGTAGTAGTACTACTACTATTAAATTCTGAATAATCTGTTGAAGTAGGATCTATTTGACCTTTCCAAAAGTTATCATAAATATTTACATGTTCAGGTCTTTCAAATGGAATTCCATAATGAAGAGTTAATAAAAGTCTTTTTTCAGCTAATTCAATTTTAGATTTAATTTCTTCTGGATTGGTTAAATTTTTAAAGGATCGGAATTGTGATTTTGCCTGATCAATAATATATTCCTTTTCACGTTCAATTTCTTCATCACCTTTATGATAATCTTGTGCATCTTGTTCAAATGTAATAAATTGTCTTTCATAGATATTCTTATGAAAACTTGTCATTTGTTTGGTACAGTGTTTTTCCCATTCATTTCCTAATTTTAATATTTGACGATAGAGTGATAGGACTTTTAATTTGTTATTTAGTGATGTTGGTGATGACATTTTTTTTAATAATAATTGATTCTTTTGAAAAGATATAAATGTAAAATTACTGAATATATTCTTGTTTGAGAATCTACACGCACTCCATCTACAGTTTTTTTTAAATTATTATTTAACTTTAAATATATTGTATTGTAAATGAATTTAAAAAATTCTGACTTAGCATAAATGTTTTAAAATTAAACAACCAATTTCCAAGTTACATTCCCAATATTACAAAAAACACCTATTAAAATGAAATTGGAACACTCTTGAATTGTTATCATGTATTAAAAAGTTCACATTGTCGCATCGCCAATTAATTTAAAAACAATTTGTCTGTTGATGATTTTTAACTTTCGGATCACACACATATCAATTAAAATCAAAAAAAAAATCATCATTAAATTATTCATCATCTGATTACTTTATCATCACTTGTACAACAATAATAACAATTTTCAAAGATGAATTTAATGAATTTAATTCAAAGATTTATAGTAGCAGGAGTAGCTATACCAATAGTAATATTTTGTATTAAATATCATTCATTATTAATTTTAATTACAACATTGTTATCCATTGTTGGTATTTTTGAATTACATGGTATTACTAATAGAATTGTTGATTTAATTTTACCTTTATCCTCAAATAATAATATCAATAACAATAATAATAACAATGATACTACTACTAATACATCTAATAATAATAATAACAATACAACAACAACAACAACAATTAAACTTTCATCTATTAAAGAAATATCAACACCTCATGATTTAAAAATTCTATCCAATTCATCTTTTTATATTGATTTAATATTAACACTTGTATTAACATTTATTTCATATTTTTATCCAAATAATTTAGAATTATTATTTAGTTATGTTATATTTATTTATTTTAGTATTTTTATAATTGATATGATTTTATTTTCATCATTTGGAAAGAGTGATGAAGAACATACAAGAACATTTATTAAAATATTTTTGAGAACATTTTCAGTATTATATATTGGATTAGGATTTTCAGGAGCACTAATTATGGTAAAAACACATCGTTTATTATTAGTAATTACTTTATTTGATAATTGGTCATCTGATGCATTTGCATTAGCATTTGGTAAATCATTTGGTAAATATAAATTACATCAATATTTATCACCTAATAAAACTATTGAAGGTGGTATTGGTGCTATATTTGGAAGTGTTTTATTATCTATTATTTTATATTTTATTAATTATTTTATTTTTGATTTACATTTATTTTTTGAACAATCAAATATTACAATTGCAAGTTCAAATAATTGTACTTATAATTGTAATTCATTATATTATTATATTATTTATGGTATTATTTTAGGTATTTTAGGTATAATTGGTGATTTAATTGAATCTTATTTAAAAAGAATTGCAAAAGTTAAAGATTCTGGTTCTTTCTTTGGTGCACATGGTGGTGTTTTAGATAGAATTGATGGTTTATTATTTTCATTCCCAATTATTTATTTTATTCATTTATTTGTTTTTTAATATTTTATTTAAATAATAATAAATTTTAATATTTTATTTTATTTTAATTAATATATTTTTAAATGATGATCAAGTTGAATGATAGAGTAACGGTTATATTTTTAAAAAACCTTAAAAAAAATGAAATCATCATCATACCTTAATAATAATCTATCAGTACTGAGTAGTGCCTCTTCTTTATCATCTCATTCACATTCACAACAACCATCCTACCATAAAACATCACTCTCTCAAATATTAAATCAACAACAATCATCCTCCTCTTCCTCACTATCATCATCATTTAATAATATAAATAGATTTTATGATAGACAAAGTATACATTCATCATCTGTTAATAATAATAATTCATTAAATAATAATACAAATATATATTTAACAAGTAATCAAGTTAAAAAAGATTTTGAACAATTAAAATCAAGTATTAAGGAATTGGAAAATAAATTATTTATCATTGATAGAAATTATACTCATTTTGAAGATGTTAAAGATTTAGAACAATACATTCATTCAATTAAAGATAATTTAAATAATTTATAATAATAATAATATTTTAATATTCCATTCAAACCTCTCTCACTCCATATATAAATTGAAAAACTAACATAATAACAAAAAAATCTAAATATATTGTACAATAAAAAACATCACACTCTCAATAAACACTCATTTGAAATTAATTCTCTCTCAAAGCTCAATTACTACCAAGGCTTTGTTTCAGAATTGTTGCTTAAAATTCTATTAATAAAAAAATAGAAGAATTTGAAAGCCTTTGTTAAAATTTAGTATTATACTCTCTCATATTCTTCTGTTTTGTAAATAAGAACAATACTCCTCATCTATTTTCAATATAGTTATAATAGTAATAATATTTAAGATTGCAATATATTACAGTATTTTTATCATCATTATATATTCC